CTTCTCATTACTCCTTAGCCTTTCTTTCTTGTCATAAGCAGTCACACTGGCCCACCTTAATACTTTCTGTTGTTTTTCCCTTTGATTATGTTTCTCCAAAGCTTTACTGTTCTTTTTTTCTCCCAGTGGAGTCTCAAAAATAGTACTCTTACTATTTCTTTCCATTATCTCATATTTTAGGAGCTTTTCTATTGCAGTGGTCATATTTCATTCTGTAGAAGTGCATCTAGGGTATGGCAGCAGTATTGTTACTGTATTCTGTTTGATATAGTAGTGCTTTGGAGTGACTACACTGATGCTGTCTATTGCTGAAAATGGCCAAGGCTCTGCTGCCTAGCCTTTATAATAAGCAAAACATTAAAAGAAATTTGAGGGGGGAAAAAACCCAACACCTAGACAAGAAAATAATGCAATCCAAGATGAAGTGAAATTTACTGCAGGGAAAACTAAGATATCTATCTATCTTGTTTGATATTTATTTTTAGATTACATAAATTTTATTGATTTTTTTTTTTTTTTTTTTTTTTTTAGACACAAAATTGAAAGGGAAAGCAATAGGGCTATTAGTGAAAATCCTAAAGTACAGCCTTTAAGGAGATCTTATTTAGATTGATTATTTGTCACAAAAAAACACAGTCTGAAGAAATTTTATGATGACATAAAGCAGAGAAGCCCTGTAAGAATGTGATTGGTATTTCCTGCAGGTAGAACTGGAGAATTTTACTGAGTAAAATATCTGAGTATGGCAGAAGATCGTATACACAAGAAATTATGGTTTCAGTTACACACTGAAAATTATTCTTAGAGGAGGAAAAGATCTAGATGAACTTTCTAGAAAAATAAGAACAGCAATGGTATAAAAACAGGGCAATCATGTAGCAATTGCTCAAGATACTTGTGTACCACTGAATAGTGTAAGTAGCAGAAATATCCTCTTTATTTAAAACAGTGCTTGGAATTTTTTAAAAAGATAGATTACATATATGTTTGTGTTGACCAGAGACTTGGATTGTAGGGCCTTCTATCATATCTAGACCACCACCTAATCAGAGTGGTTTTATAAGATGGACTCTCTTGCCACTGCATTTTAATTTGTCTTAACTTTCACTGCACAAAAGCACAGAAAGCATAGACAACATGACAAAAGATTAATATTGTGTTCAAGAAGAACTCTGCAATTATGTCTTTGAAGTGTAAGAATTATTCCCGCATATAACAATCTTCCAGTTTATTGTTGCTCATATTACTTATCTTTGATTTGGAATCCTGTCTATCTTATTCACCCACTGACCTTCCTTGATGTCAGAAGGCATATTCCTGCTTCACCCTCATTTGTAGTGCTTAGTCTTGCTGCTTTCCTTGAATACAAAAGGAAAGAATTCCTGGGCTGTACTAGTCACAGGCAAGAATGGGAATGAATTGCAAAACCAATTAAAGGATGTGATAGTCCCTTTCAAATTTACTGTGAATTTTAGATCAGAAAGGCTACTGCAAAGCCACGCCAGGGCACATTAGTTTTGTCTTCGTATCTTAAAAACCAGCATTCTCTCTGAGAAATGCAGGAAATACAGTTAATGACATAATTAAACTCTTTCAAATGAACGTAGGCACCTGAGTTAGTAAAGTCTTGTTGACTAGTAATATATCCTGAAAATCAATGGCCAGAGCAGCTAAATAATCTAGGAATGTTACATAAAGATTTCTTAGGAATGTACAGGCACTAGTGAAAATTGTTTGTCATATTCAGCAATTAAAAAGAAAATCCAGCCTTTGATTGTACAATAGCTTATTGTGTAATCAAGGAGGATAATTTGCTAATGACTTTGCTAACCTCAATCTGTTCTTATTTAATGATGTATTTATAGCACAAGTGGTATGCAAAGTACTGAATCCTATAATGTATTTTTCATTAGGAAGAGAATATTAAAGTGTTTTAACATCCCTACTCTTCAATCATTTATTTAGTTGTATTTGAATACTGTAATCAGTTTCAGCAGTACTGTGATACAACCAAACTTTGCCTTCCAAATGTTTGACATTTGTGGTAATGAATGAGAAAGATACAAGCAAAACTGATGCAGAGTTCACTTTTGTTGCTCAAACCTGTATTTCTTTTATGAATTAAACAATATAATCCCATTAGTGGCCTAAAATGTAGAGTCCATGGTAGTTTAGAGTAACTTTTGTGTAATATTTTGCATTATTATTATGCTTAAAGTGATATGGTTTTCATCTTACTCTATATTTATTTCAATTCTAACTATGTCTGAGTCGCTACATCAGAGAACAGTTACAGTAAAAAGCAAATTACATATGTATACGAAAGCTGGACATGACCAGCTTTAAATAATATGATAGATCATCTTCTAACCCCACTAATTTTTCAAATCCAGTCATTGTTCTCCTGTGAGTAATAAAGCAAAATCCAACCTATTCGTGATTTTTTCAAGACTGATAAAAATAGTCTTCTGTGCTTGCTCTATAGCCTTTGCACATTCCTGGCACAAATAAAGTAACTGGTAAAAACTGGTAAAAAATTTCATGTAGAAATCATTTTACATAAGAAAAGTTTTACTTTCTAAATGAGGCTTATTTACTTAAGATATTAAAAGGAAGAATAACAAGTATTAGTGATTCTGCTGCTGAAAGTAATTTCAATGTTTGAACGCACGAATAAAAGGAGAAGACTTAATTCTCATTATGTTAAGACACAAAATTGCTCATCAGTAGTTACTATTCCCCACCTGCCCTCAGCTGTCATGCCTGCTCCCCTTCCCATTATGTATGACCACCTCCTTCACTAAGTGGAGATTATTTTTTTTTTTATCCTTTTCTAAATAAGATCTCTGAAGGAAAAAAAAAATCTACACCCCAACTCTATGTTTAATTATGTATTAAGCTTTTACAGGGCAAGCATGTGTAATCACAGCCAGTGCCTCTGACATTCCTCTAATAAAATTAAAAGGCTTCAAAATGCAAATCAGTTATGTGGCTTTAATGCAAGTATGGTATTAAGCAATGAATACATGTTAACATCTAAGCTGGAATCCAGCCTTTAGAATGAAAAGTTAGTATTCTTATGTGAGTTGGCTATGCACTGAAAGCTGAGACTTATGAGCACCAATACCTCCATTAAGAAGCTTACTTAATAGTATCAGTGACTACTCAGTCTTTTGAATATATATATTTTTTTCTGACAGGTCATGACAAACTCCTTCGTTTGTGGCATCCCTATATTAATACGAGGCCTACAGGAAAGCTGTCTGGGCATCAGCACAGTATTGTGGAAATTGTGACGAATGAAAAAGATCAGCATGTCATCAGCCTTTCATTTGCAAAGGTAAAATATTTTTCCTAACTTCAAATCAGTACTTCAAATCAAAATAGCAATGTGTTTTTGAGTAATTAACACTGACAGCATCTAGTCCTAATCTAATCTGTTTATTTTAATTAAAAAGCAGGGTTTTCCTTTTTTCCATTTTTTTGAGTAGCAAGACTAGAATTGATATATTTGACTTTTCTTTGTGTATGCAAAAAAAAAAAAAAAAACCATAATAAATATTAATATTCTGATAGATTCTGTGTTACCTGTCAGCTGGCAGAATTATTACAAAACTGGTATCTGAATGCTTAATTCAATAGTAATCATCTGCAACAATTTCTTGCTGCTTCATTTCCCTTTTCTCTCTTTGTCAACCTACCAAATATATATATGTGTTGTTTTTTTTTTTCTTACACTGGCCACTCTATACACCATGATCAACTCTCAGCCTCTTTCTGAACAATGTCAGCTATGAAACTTAGTAATTAAAAGTATTATTCATGAATAGAAATTGTGCAGATTTTTACAAGTATGGCATGCCGACTCTTGTTCATTGCTGGCAAAAATGTATAGCCAATGGTGATGACTATGCTGAAAAAGTGTGAAACATTTCACCAGAACACAGACTTTTACATATTACACAAGCTCTTTGTTAAAGTAGCTGCATCCTAAGAGTCTCCTATTAGCCTGCCATAGGGATGTCTAGCAGTAAATAATTTCATTATCTGACATGGCAGTGCTTCTACCTGCTGTATATTCACTGGCTACTGCAACTCAGTCCTTTCATGTTTTTAGGAACAGACAAAAACTGAACAAATAGAGTCTCACCGATAGAGTGAGATATCTCAACAGATATATCATTCAACATTGTCCCTTCCTCTCTGTATGTATTTTGCTCATTCTACTGCAACTGGAAGCAGTTACATTTTATTTTTTAATGCTGCAGAACACTTTCAGAAACCACTGAGGGGAAAAGAACAGTCATAGTTAGGGGCTATTAAACACGGAGACGTGGTTGCAGGAAGAGGGTTGTTCTCGTGATTTTTCCCTCAGAATGATCAGTGGAAATTGATAGTGGCATAGTAGTGGTACTGAAATGCTGTGTAGCTGTGAATACCATTGTGTCTCACTTAGTGTGGAGTGGGAATTCAGAATTAGAACAGTAGAGGTCGAAGTATCTTGTCTTGCCTGCTGAATTATTGATGAAAGCCAATAAGACAGAACTGTCCCACTAATTTAACTAGAACTACTCCTGTGGTGAGTCTGGTTGAATTAGACTGATTAAGTGAGGTAAGCAAGATTTGACACTACAAGCTTGAATGCGTAAGAACAATCTCAGTACGACTGTTGATCAATGGCGCTAGGATAAGGAGTACATTCCTACTATAACACTCTATGCTAGCCCTTGTAAACAACACAACTTTCATTTTCAAATCAGTGGAATTTTCTTTGTCATTTTTCTCTTTAAAAGTAATTTCATTTTTGATCGCTAATACTGAAAGAGTTATGTATGTACTTACCATGGTAGGAAAGTACTGCAATTGCAATAAACAGGTTCATTTCTTGAATTTCCATTCTTGGACATGGTAAAATTTCATTCCATTCATAGTTTCTTACAAATCAAATGCAGCTATTCAGATGCAAGCATATAAACAATTCCTTGCTGAAATATGCCCATACTAAATTGACTCTGTTATAAACAGAGTCCAGGAAGGATGTCTTAGTTTTAGCTGGGATGGAGTTGTTTTCTTCACAGTGTCTTCTATGATCCGATGTTTTGGTTCTAAGAGAAAAAAACGTTGATAACATACTGATGTTTATAGTTGCTGCTCAGCAGTTCTGTACAGAACCAAGGCCATTCTGAGCAAAGGGCCCATGGAGCTGGGATGGAACAGAATTAGGACAGCTGACTTTAACTGGCTAAAGGGATATTCTGTACATGATATCATGCAGAAGGAGTTTTGAAGGGAGTGGGAATTCTTTCTCCCTCTACTCGGGGCTAGCTGGGCATTGGTTGGGGATGGTGAGCAATTAATTGTGCATCATTTGTTATATACATATATGTGTGTGTGTCCTAATTATTATCCTTTTCCTTTTCTCTATATTAGTAAATGGTTTTATCTCAACCCACAGAAGTTCTACTTCCCTTCTGACAGGGAAGGGGATGGAAAAAGTGAATGACTGTATACAAAGTTGCTCAACACTACTTAGCTGCCACAATAAACATCTGTGTGTTATCAAAGTTGTTTTTTCTCCTAGAACAAAAAGATAGCATCATACTAGACACTCTGAAGAAAACGGTTCCATCCCAGCTGAAACTAAGATAGAAGATAGAGAGTAAGATGTGTTATTGATTTTTATATTTTGTGATTTTGCAAATTTACAGGAATCTTAATATTAGCAGCCTCCAACCTTGCCTCTCCAGGTCTGCTGAATGGCAAACTTGCTGTGTAATATCCCAGAGGGGAGTCATAAATGTCTTCTGCCTGTCTTGAACCAGGCATGTCATTGTATCAATGCCTGTGTAAATTACCATCTGTGTTTCTCTAACCTATTTTGAAATCAGATAACATTGCTTTAAGGATTTATTTATAATACAGTCATACGTCTTCCTGAAAAATTACAACAGCTGAGCTGGAAGTACACTGTTTAATTTATGTCAAACCATTGCTAATCAGGGCTGTATACCAACAATATTAAATTTAATCTAGAGAATTAGAAAAAGGCATTTGAGAAATTTGCTCCAGATATCCTACACAGAAATTATTTGGCTACATCTACATCAGATACATTTTTCGTATACTGCTTTGAAAGTCAAAGTCCTTTCTGCTGTGATTTTATGATAATAATTTATCTTTTTTTGTTGTTGTTTATTTATTCCTTCCAGGTATCATATTCTCCTCATATTGCACAAACCTTCAAGAACATTTGATGTTCTTTGATTTTTTTTTTTTTAATTTTTTCATGCAACTTAACCAACTTTCTGGTATTTGCAATGCAAATTACTTTTTCTCTTGAATAGCTTGCAAGTAAGAACTGCAATATGAGCGTAGAGAAGAGCAGGCTCAGGGAGCCTCTTATCAAAGAAGAGCAAGGCTCTTTTCTTTGGTGCCCAGTGACAGACAATGGGCAAAAACCAAAATATAGCAAAAATGATCTACGCATCAGGAAGCATTTCTTTACTCTGGGGGTAGCTGAGGACTGGCATAGGTTGCCCAGTGAGGTTGTACACTCTTGCCATTGGAGACCTTTAAAAGCCACTAGACACAGTCCAGTGCAACCTGACCTGGGTAGCCCTGCTTGAGCCTGGTAGAGCAGATGGATCCAGGAGATCTCTGCCAAGCTCAGCCAAGCCATGATTCTGTGAAGAAGAAGGATTTAGAACTAATTTTAAATATGCTTTTTTGGCTTAAACTTATATTTTCCCTTTCTAGCACCTAAATTTATATGGCATTAAATAATCTGTATTTGCTGCAGAAGAAAAAAGATCAAGATCCATATTCAGCCTGTGTTAATTTCCTTAGATTTTCTAACCAAAAACTGAGATCTAAAGATTAAGTTACATTAAAAATAAATTTGCAAACCTGCAGTTTTCTAGTTCCTTTGTTTTCCGATTGGTGAAGGAAGAAATACTGGATCTTAAAATGTAAATGAGGTGTTTACTAATGAACATTAGGTCAATACTACATCTAAGGTGAGAGCTGTGTCATTATTCTAAGGTCAGCTGAACATTAGCAGGAAGAGCATGATTGTTGTTTTGAGCTCACGCAACCCAGGTGTTCAGGGGCACATATCTGTGTCTTAAACTTCTTGCTTCTGACCCACATACCATTTAAATATCCATTTAAAATGTTTTTTAGAAGAGTTGAGGGTTGTTTCATATTTGCAGTAGGGGTCAGGTAGTTCTGTTGTCAGCATATTGGGCAGACAGTACAGACAGACATACAGGTCTTTTACAAAATCTCTGTCATTGTATAGCACCCAGTAAATAGTCTGCAGGCCCATTAATTGGCAACCAGACTCACTGTTGCTTATTATCCAGTTTAATTTTTTTCCACTATTTCTCAATGACTGGGAAAGAGAAAGTAGCCTTATGTATTACCAGATTAGTGGTATTATTTAAGGAAGTGATTTGAAGTGTATATAATTTTGAACTTCAGCAAATTACTGTCTCAGTAAGGCACTAGGTATAGGATCAGCTGCTGCATCGATTGCATTAATATGCTTAGAGCTAAATCCTCCTTGTCTTTGCCTCAAAAGTAATCCTACTGACATTGATTTATTCCTAAGTCTTCTAATACCTACGGGGAGTTGTAGTACTTTGTAGGATCACCTTCAGAGATCACAGGATGCAAAACTGAACTCCATAGGTAACTTACTCTATTAAATAACATAGCAGGCAGAGCTGCAGTTTGACCTCTGTTTCATGCCTGGTGATTTTTCTTTGGCAGTTCAGACTTTGGGTATGAATTTGTAACTTTTTTGCTTACAACATGGAACCTTCAATGACAAACTGAAGTAGGTAAACTGTGTAGCAAATAGAATCCCTGAAGAAGAATTTCTGCACCATTACACACTACAACATCCATGTGCAAAAGGAATGTCCATGGGTCTATGCTAATTCTGCTAGTACTAGAACTGAGCCAACAGGTATTTTTCATTGATGTAAGTCAGCGCTGCAGCCAATATCACTGTTAATGTAGCTTAGGTTTTCCTGTGTGGTGGAAACAGTGTGAAGAAGGAAAACAGTAATTTTCAAAAGAAACTGAAGATCCTTCTTTCTGCACTCTCCACTCTGATTTTGTTTCCTCAAAAATAGTCTGCGTGTGATTTCACAAGGCACAGTCAAGCATTTTACCATACAGAGTATGTCTTCAAAGGGCTCTGGTGATTCCCAACGCTTACCAGGATTGGGAAATCCTTTATTAAATAGAACAGTTTTAAAAAAATGTTCTTCAGGAAGCTCCCCCAGTCACCTCCTAGTTTCAAATTAAGAACACCTTTTGTTTTTTGTCTTTCCTCATGAATTCATGCACAGTCATATGTGCTGATGCAGATGAGCAGCAGTGACACTATATCACACTGCCACGCTGGTGATGCCTTGTGTTAAAGTTACTTATAAACCACTGTTTCATATGTTATGTCCCCGGGCTGGAAAAAGAAGAAAGATTGAGCAGAAGGAAGAGATTTATTAATGACCAGGTTTTTGCTTGTATTCGCTTGTGCTGTAAAGTCATTTTTTCTGTGATTTATTGCTTGATAAAATGTCAAACTTATGTTTTGACTGACCAATTTTGCTTGAAAAAAAACATGACACTATTAAAATTGTGTATCTTCAGTCTTATTCAAATTTTTAATAGATCTGGATGGTATTTCCAGGAAGGTCTCTGTTCAAGGACTTATTCTTTTCACCTGACTTGAGTATCTCCACTGATACTTACTTCTGATTAATATTCTGTTCTTAGAGCTGTTTTTACACCTCCCAGTTGTGATTGGGCCAAAAAATCAGCTTGGAGATTTACCTTCAATATTGCCCTAACTTTTTCAACTTTCATCACCAATTCTTCTTTGTATTTTTGCTTGTCTACTTTTTTTTTCCTAGGTGAACAAACAGCTTCATTGTTTTCTCTATTTAACTGAATTTTCTTTTTCAAGCACTCTCACTGGCTATTTCTTCATAAGGCTCTTTTTGTATGGTTCAGCAATTGCATGTCTGAGTAAATTTCTGAAATACAGTCAGAAATCTATTAAAGAAATATCATAGAATGGCCTGGGTTGAAAAGGACCTCAAAGATCATCTATTTTCAACCCCCCTGCCATGGGCAGGGTCACCAACCACTAGAACAGGCTGCCCAGAGCCACATCCAGCCTGGCCTTGAATGCCTCTAGGGATGAAGCATCCACAGCCTCTCTGGGCAGAAATATGATGGGCATGGTTCTGAATCAGTAGACTTTTCTGTACTTTTCCTCTTTTGTTTTCCTGAAAATAAACAGGACATTCAAATTTTCTTTCTACTTAAAATCCTGAAACACTTCTATATGAATTTTTGTCTAGTGTCAGAAGTGATCAGTTCAAAGTCTATTTCTTTTCTATCCTTTTTCAAAATTTTGCTGGATACTCTGTAAATTCCATTAAAATCAGGTTTTGGATGGAAATTCCAATAATCCCTAAATCTGTGTATTTATCTCCCTTCTTGATACTGCATAATCCTGAATAATTTCTGTCCATTACTCTTGCTTTTAATATTTTATACTCATTTATTTTTATTTTGCAAACAGTGAACAGTCTTCTACTTTATTTCTTTAATAATACTTTTTCTATGCTGAGATTGTATTTTAAGTGAAAAGATTTATACTTCAATACTTTATTGCATACAGAGTCAGAAATGCTCCTTAGTTGTATAGCGTGTGTCTTCTGAAGTAATCATTAAATCATTCCTGGCAATTGCACTGAACTTTTCAAAGCATTTACAAACACATAAGTGAAGTTTTCTTAATTATCAAAAACATGTTTAAGGACTGAGAATACTGCCTGTGGATTATAATGGGTACAAAAAATGTTTAGCAGAAAAATAAATAGAATTCTAAATGAAGAAAGAAATGGAATATAATGAGGAAAATTGAAGAAGTCAAAACTTTTGTTATGTTTCAGAGTACAACTTTCTGGGTCTTTTGGGAAAACATTTACTTTCTCTGTTTAAAGGTGATTTTTTTTGTTCCTGAATAGAAATATTTATGCTTGTACATAAGCAAACAGGTAGACATAAGACTGTAGAAATCCCTAATATTAAAAAAAAAAATCTAGTCCCAAATTTGTAAGGAAAATATTTCTCAGAGTGAAATTTTGCTTTCAAATATCCTTCTAATAAAGAGGGATTAAAATTAGAGATTTGAATTTTCTGAATTGTCAGAAATGAATTTGACTGTTACTGTTTTCATTTTGAGTTTGACACGTCACGTTTATGTTTGTTTCTCAGAGTTCTTCTATGCTCTGTGTTGATGTTAATGGCTTGGCTTTTAGCACATCTTGTCTATTTCTCAGGTCAATATTGCAAAACTTAGCCTTTCTGTGCCTTTTATTCTCAGTGAAATCAGGATGAAGATGCCTTAGGTATTTGTCTTGTTTATTTTCAGCTGTAACACGCTTAACAATGTGACTTTCATTGGATGCTATATTATTTTTCTCATACAAATGAAAAGTAGTGGAATATCCAGTGATGATGCCATATTAAATCCTCTCCCCTTCCCTCCCCTACTCTCTCTAGATTTTTATAGTGTGGGATCTACAGACCCTTTCAATGCTGCAGGTCTTCCAGGATCAAGAGAGTCCAAGAGGGATTGACACCCTTGCCATGGTTTTTGACAATGCTTGTGGCACACTTATTACAGGTATGTTACTGTAACTAATGTGTGAGAGCTTCCCCCCCTCTATATAGATCGCTTCAAAAGTAATGTCTCCTATTCAATACTGTGAAAACTACAACAGCAACAAAGAGTAAAATGACACTTTTGATGGAGCAAATTCTCAGCTACAAAACACAATTTTTCAATATAATGGCTACCATTAGCTGTGCGTTTTTGTCAGCAATGAAAAAGAAAGAGACTGCATGCCCACTCATAAAAAAAAAAAATCTGCGCTAGCACAGGTGACCTTCTGTTTCATACCTGCTACGACAGCATTATTACTAGGAAAATGTTGCTCATCTTTCATCAACCCAAACAGAAGAAATCAGAAGGTGCCAAATCTGAACTGTAAAGTGGGTTTGGAAGGACAGTCCAGCCAAGATTGGCAATATGCTCCCTGGTCTTCAAGCTGGTATGCAGCCTGGGGTTGTTATGTTTCAGGAGAAAGGTTGTCGTCTTCTCTGGCCTGACTCAGGAAATTTGAACCTTGAGCTTAATAACTGTTGCAGTATAGAGATCTGATTTGGTGTCTTCTCTGGAAATCTAGATGGATCACTCATTTTCTATCCTAAAAGTCAGTGCACATGCCTTTGCCTAGTTGGGGCTGCATCTTGGACTTTTTCTTCGGTGGTGAATTCACATCGCTACTCCATGGACTGTTGTTTTGACTCTGGCTTGTAGTGGTGACTCTCATCTCTGGCAATAATTCCATAAAAGAAACTGTCACCTTCAACCTCGTATTGGTTCAGTAGGTCCTGACAAATGTGCATATGGTATTCTTTCTGTTCCTATGTGAGCATCTGTGGGACACACATGTTGCAAGCTTTGCAATATTCTAGCATTGCCACAATCATTTCCAATGCACTGAAGTTGATATTCAGTTCCATACGAAATTCCTTGGTTGTAATCCAACAATTTGTATGGATGAGCTGATTGAGACATTCTTCATTTTGTGATGTGACAGCTGTGCATGGCCATCTGGAATATGGCTTGTCTTTCACAACACTGAAACTCACCACCCACAGCCTCACTGTACTTGCATCCACTGTTTGGTCTCCATAAGTGTTGAATGAAGGAATAATGTGTATGAAATGTACAGAATGTGAGAGGTGAGGCTATTTGCATAGTAAGATCACTCTGAAGTGAGCATATGTTTTGCTAATTTAAATATGGAAATATGTATGAAAATATGCAGCATAGAAATTAACAATCGGAAACAGTAAATGATCAAGGCTTTTGTGAAGGCAAGGCAAACCTTTCTGAGAAAGAATAAGCTACCTGTTCTACTCTGTAGACTTGTCCTTTGTTAAAAGCTACTCAGCTGCTGATATTCCTGGACTCCGCCTTTCTCTGGTACCCTCCTTCCATTTGGAGATGCCAGAAGACCCACTTGATCAGGAATTAGAAATTGTGGGAACTCATCCCAGTGTTTCTTGGCTCTGCTTCTTAACTTCATAGCAAGGAGCATGGAATCTTTGAGGGCCTAGAGATTTACAGGTGTCACTAAGTATTTTAGCCCTCTGTATCTAAGGAAGAGAACCTGGAAACCAGCAGACTTTGGACCAAAGACATGGTCACTGAAATCCTGGATTCCTTAGCTTTGAACCTGTTCTCAGGCTAGAGAAACCTGAGGCTTATCAGAGAAATAAGGTCATTGTTTTGTATCTGGAGACGTCTTGTTTCAGTATTTGCACCAAGAAAAAGGTAAAAAGCTTGTCAAATCTGAGATGAACGTGAAATCTGTTGTTTTCGATGACCTGTCAGCTTCTGTTGAATATTTGTGCTAATAAGCCTGTTGTAAACCTACATATGTTGGAGTCCACAAATCGGAATACTAATCAGACTAGTTTATAAATATGCTTAATCACTAAAAGGTATAGAAAGAATCTTATGTTAAAATTTCACTTCATGAGATTTTCAAGGCGTAGTAACGTAGTGGTTTTACATGGCTAAGTCCTCATGAAAATGAAATTGTTTATAAGGACAAAGCTTGGAGCTGTGCCCAAATATCTGTAAAAATCTAGTCCTGGACTCTGTTAATGGTGTCATTAAAAGGTTAAGTGAATGTCCCCATGCTCCTGAACTGGACAAAAGACTTGAGGCTGTATGTGGGGGGTACATTAATTCTTATGGCTATGTACCTGATTTTATGAAGGAGATTTTCAGTTATTTGTTCACTAACATCCATGTATTATGGCTCACCATGCTTCATTTCAATACTACCGCAGCTTTTCTTCTGTGTCTTTTTCCAAACTGCAGTCCTGTGTGCCTGTGCTCATGCCAAGAATTAATGCAATTCCATCCTTTGCTGCATATTTACTGCTGACTGTTATGCTGCTGTTAGACTGTAGCTATTACTGGAACTGAAATAGGAGTCTGGATTGCAAGCCTGCCTTGTAGAAGCCTTCTCCTTTTCTTTGTCTGTCTTTCTGTCTTTGCAATCCTTCTGATCAGAGAGCACCAGAAGGTGAAACTCTATTCAGACCTGCATTGCTGTATAAAGGAAGGTACAGGAGAGATCTTACTGCCTGTAGATAAAATTGTCTCATGTCCAAGGAAGTGGCTTGAGGCAGGGAAATACTTAACTATTGTTTAACTGAATTTTCTCTTTCCAAGAACAGTCTCAAAAAACTTATTCCTTATGCTCTTCAGAAAAAACTCAAACGAACACTTCTCCTTATATGAACCTTTCTGTAAAATATGCTCTCTTGTCTCACTACATGCAGGGTCAACTGTCATTGATATTTATCCTCTAATGCACATGATACAAGATACAAAACAGGTCCCAAAAACACATGAGAAAAGCATAAATGTTCTGGCTTATAACAGGGCTTTTCACCAAATCCTCACTGTCTGCTCTGAGTCAATACTGAAGGTGAGTGTAAGTTGTTGTCCTTTAAGCTGAAAAAGTTTCAGATTTTTTTTTTTTTTTTTTAATTACAAATGAGTTATTGGGCAGTTAGTTAAGCTACTAGTGTTTATTATTTAAAGAGTTAGCTTTGTGACCATTTTCGTGCTCAAATTCTTCAGGGAAGTGATAGCCATGATAAATCATTAATTTTATTAGAAAACTACTTCTCTGACTTGTACTGCGAGCACCAGATAGATTGAGCAAGGCTTCAGAAGCACCAATTTCAGTTGTGCTTTTATTTCCTTTGGCCATATTTTGGTACACTTCACTTTATCAGGAATGGATAATACAGCAATAGTAGTAAAAGTCTATTGTCTATTTAGTAGCTGCAAAGGAAAATTTTAAATGCCACATCAAATATGTATCCAAACAATAATTTATGCAAGCCTAATTGCATTCTTTGATCCAGAAGGCATGTCTCATGAACATCACTGAAAGTATAGTAAATGCTTGAGTCCCAGACAGCTTAGTGGGATATAAAACATCCTTCAGATGCTCTGTGGATTGGTATGAAACATGAATAACATCACTTTGTGAAAGTATGTAAAAGATGCTGCTTTGACATAAAAAAGATTCTTCAACTGAAAGTTTTTATGGTGCATTCAGTGTGACCAAACCACAGAACCTGATTTTTTATCTTCCTGTTATTCCTTTTTTTTCTGATTCTGTTTCTGTTTGACTAGCAGATCTGGAGCCAATTTGCTGACCTTCTGCAGATCCTTTTAACTTTCAGTTTCTTCGAACATGTTGTTCTGAGCCTGTAGGATTTTAGTCATGCAGTGAAAGAGAAGTGTTGAATATAACAACCAGTTAACAAGAAAAATAAAGTCATGGAGATGTCTCTCATTTGTTACTTTTTATCACTACTAACTGTTGAAACGCTATTTTAAATATTAAATATGTGTATTAATTTTACCATTTGCATTTGAACCACTATAAGTAGTCACTAGACAAATATCAGAAAACCCATAGACAAATACAATGAATCATTATAGGTGTAATTAACAGTGTGATACTGGTTGTCTAAGTGCTCAGGACCTACAGTTTTCATTAATTACTAATGAAGTTAAGTGGCAAGATCTGTAGGGCTAAGTAGCTTCTCTTATTGAGCCAGTTGGTAATGCATACCATTTTTTTTGGCAGAAGGCTCATTTGTGTAAATTGTCTATACTGTATTCTCAATAAGATGTTATTTCTCATTGTAAGCCTTCAACTTCTTTAGATCATGATGGCTACAACAACATTACAATTACAAGATAGTTTTCAGCATCTGTTGCTGAAGAACATCAGATCCAGACAGTGCTTAAGACATGAGTGGCTACTTCACAAATCCAGTTGAATCTGGAGAAATTGCAGTAGGATCTCAATAAAAGAACATGGTTGTGTGCTATTGAGTCTGCTGAAATAACAGATTTTTTTTCATGGGAAGTTTAAATATGCCCTTGAAAGTATGCATCTTTATACAATTACACTAGAAAAAATATGTGTGAGGAATTTTAGAGGATGTACTACAAATGATTTTTTTTTTTTTTTTTAAGGTGTGGGACCTAGAAACAGGATATCAAATATACCAGATTGAAGATGCACATGGGCTGAATGTTGAAGTGACCTGTGCAGCAATTGAAATAAATGGTTTTTATCTTGCTACTGGGGCTTGTGATGGTAAACGAACTAAATAATTCCCATATTTTTATTATGTTTACGTGAAATGGCATAAAAGCAATCAGAACTCTTTGTCTTGAACCACTTTGTCTTAGTGATAGAATGAATTTTGGCTTTCATCCAAGATGGGAGGAAGTATTCCCACAAAGAAGTACAGGGCTTTTTTTTTGTCCTGGTTAGGTTTTATTTGATATGTGATTCATAGAAAGGTGATTTTTGACTGCTGGGGCTCTGTTACTTTCACACAGAATCACTTTACTTGTCTATGACTCTGTGAAAAAATGCCTGCAAAGCTCTTGATCTGAAAAGATGTCTCCTCATCTCTGGGCCTAGATCTCTGTAGCATATATATATATATATATATATATATAATGTGTTTCCTGACTTTTTCCCATGTTATTTATGGTGCATCAGTTGTACAGAATGTGACAGGATCACTCCAGTATATTCACATATTTGGTGTAATCTGTAAACATTGAAGAATAATTCTTCTCACATTCAAATGTTCAAGTATGCACCTGAATTATTAAAATATATGAAATATATGAAGGCTGCCTCACATAAAAAGAAAATGCCCTTTTTCCACACAGAATACTGAATAATATTTAGAGTTTTATATTTTGCAACGTAGATTGAGCTTTCTATGGATCTTAATAGCATGACTGTAGGTGAATGCTATCAAGTCCTACAAAACTGGATTCATAAATAATAGCTGCCTGTCATGGTTTTGCCTCATTTCCTTGACAAGGCAAGGTATTATGATGTGTAATACTGATGAAAAGCCATGAGACCATGACACTGCTTCACTTAAGATAATACTCTAGCTTCTTCTCCCCACTAGCCCTGTGGAACAAGTCCAGCAACTGTGTTGCTCTGCTCCTTGCTGTATATCAGAGCCTGGGATCTTCTTCCTGACTGCATACCATTCTGTTTGCTCTCCGATGACACTAATCCAGAAACAGTAGTGAACTAGGCTGTGGCCTTTCATCCTGGGCTGCAGCCTAAAATGGGCATGGAAGGGATGAAATAACAGTGGGATTAATGGCGAAAATAGTTTTTGGTATATTTTTTTCTCCCCAGGCTTGCTTTCTCAATAAATATATACACAGTTACAGTTTCTTGAAGATGATTGACTTAGCTTTGCACCTTCAATTGGATTTTCTTGTTTCTTCTCCTTTCCCTGTCCTAATTCAAATTCCTGAGTTTGAAGCACAAGCAGTTGTTGAAAGTTCATTCCCTTTTGTGTGTATTTCTTTTTCCTGTCTAGGAACAGTGAAAATTTGGGATTTTGGCAGTGGACAGGAAGTTAAAGTCTTGCCTTTGACCCAGCACAGCAAAGATGAGCATTGCTTGCTGAAGCTAGTCTATCTGAAGGCTACTGAGAGTCAACATGTTCTTCTTGTTTTGGAACAGAGTGGGAAAATGAAAATCATTCAGGTTTTTTAACATAATTATATGTATATGCGTGTATATATACCTATTAATACGTTCTAATTATTATTATTTCATTCATTAGCTACTAATTTTCAAGGTAAAACAAGACTTTCTCATTAATCACTAGATAAACTTATAGAAATTATCAAGAAGTAACCCTCTTTCTGTAAGTCATCAAGTTAGCTTTCTTTCTTTCTAAGTTCATTAGTCCATTGCTGTTTTCAGCATTCTGATCATTTCTTTACGTGTACTCACTATAATGGAAAATGAATATTTCCTGTTTGTGATTGAGGCCTTTTGATTCAATTTCCTAATTGTCACAGTTATCAAACTAATCTGTATTTGCTGGAGGACCAGATCTTTTTTACTTGTGTATACAGATGTTACTGATTAATGTAAATGGGAATACTCAAATAAGTGGCTGTAGAATCTGATTCTGCACCTGAAAACTGTTTCATTTCTCTTCTTCATCTTCATAAGTTAACATCTGAGGCTGAGATCTGACTCTCTGATGCAAAGGGACTACAATGACCTGAATAATTGACAGGAAGTTTGCAGAGCAACACTGAGGTTTTATCATGTGCTAGAATTTTGTAACTCTCAATCCTGTTCACCATTAGTTTTTAAACAAGAGAATCAAGAATTATGTTTTATAGCACATTGTTTAGCTGGCATATATGATACAATAGAAAGTTGGGGTTTACATGCATGGGTTGAAACCAGGAGCCTCACAGTGAACAAAATTGGAACAGATTGAGTCATGGCTATATGCAGAACACCTTGGAGCCATTTACTCTTCATGGCTTGTATAGACAAGTGCTCCCCTCCCAGTGCATCTAATGTGTATGAGCTTGCAGTTCACAAAGGGACAGGAAGTACCCCTTTACTCCTAAGGATAACGTCCGTGTTAGAAAGCAGCTGCCTGGTGCCCTGATTGCATTCCTTAGCAAGAAATTTATGTAAATTCACTCTGGCTGCTCTGGAATTTTCACAACCAGTGCTCACTTACAAAGCTCCAGATCTAGCTGTTATAACGATACCCTTCATGTTTTATTACTGTCTGTACCATTAACAACTGCTTTCCTTCACAAGTAGAAACTCAGTCATATTTCCATATTTTACTGTGGTGTAACATATAGAATCATAGAATGGCTTGGGTTGAAAGGGACCCTAACTGTTATCTAGTTCCAATCGCTCTGCTGTGGGCAGCACTGCCACTCACCAGATCAAATTGCCTAGAGCCCCAGCTAGCCTGGCTACACCTACAGGGTTGAGGTATCCACAACTTCTCTGGGAAACCTGTTCCAGTGCCTGACCGCCCTCCAAGTAAAAAATTTCCTCTTAATATCTAGGTCACTCCTCCTTTAGTTTAAAGCCATTCCCCCTTGTCCTGTCACTATGAGACTATGTATGTCCTTCCTGTTTGTCATTCTTGTGGCCCCCCTCTGTACCAACTCCAAAGGAGGGACACAAGGATGACATATGTATATGCATTAGCATACACAGTAATGTCTTTTAGGTGTGAAAGAACTAGTATACATTTGGAAAGTTAGGTCAATTGTACAGGAAGAGCATAGAATGTACACAAGTGAGAGAGGAAGATGCTAAAATGAACTGATTCTTATCTGGACAATATATCTTCTCTTTTCAAAGAGAAGCAGTTATTAGGCAATGATGTTCTCAGATTTGTTTAGGCCTGTTGTCTAGGACAACAATCAAGGGTAGCCAACGCTCTTCGACTGCTAAAACAGAGATTCAGATCCCTTCCAAGTTTGGTCATTCAGTCCACTCTTCCAGAAGGTTGCTAGGCTTGCTGTGCCAAGGGAAGCATAGGTTTAGCCAAGCCTGTGTTAGTTGCAAGGAAGGTATTTCTAAAACTTTCAGTACTTACAGATAATTTAAGTTAAAAGCTTTACACTCCCATGCTGGTGATATGTTATTTCTGATCCTCCTATTACTAAAAAGCTGTTTTATTCAGAGTTCGTTTTTGATACTAAGCTATATCTGAAATACTACTGTGCACCAACTACTCTGCAGTGTTAGTACTTGAACTGCTGAGTTTAATCTCTTCCATGTTTATGTGATTCTAAGTAATTAATATTATTGTTGTATATAGTTGCAGAACTACTTTTTCTATAAAAATGCTTCAGTAATAATGAGTAATGCAGGTTATTATTATGAGAGTTTAAAGAGGCTCTAAACATGATGGCAAGATAAACTTGAGTAGCACTCCAAAAACTGTTTGTTCTTTAGAAGAATCTACTGTACTCTCTCACAGTTTTCACTCCTTCCCCATATTTTTCTTTTCTTTTCTTGTCCCTTGCAATTAATATTGTAGGGCTTAGTAAAATCTTAATTATTGCTCTGTTCTTGAATTTGAGACAACTGTCAGAATATGAGAAAACCTAAGAAGTTGATGTTAGTACCATTTTCCAAAACAGAATTATTAAGGTTAAAAAAGAAACCGGTACTGAAGAAAATTTGGAATAATCGGAAAAACTGTGGAAGTAATTTGCAGGAGCTCTAGGCATAATGGGGAGGGACTGATAACTCAAAGCAATGGCTTAAGTATGGCTTGTTCTTCTCACAGAACTGAGATAACCATCAGCTTTGCTAATATGCTGGATATGAACTGAAGATTCCATGTTAATAAATAAGCAGCTACAATGCAAGTTTCTTAACATAGTTTAAAAAGGAAATTAAACTGCGTACCCAGATGAAGTTTGAAATGTTTTTTTCTAAATAGGCAGAAAACAAATTTTTGATGCGTACTTGCTGATCATTTTCTTATGAGTAACAAAATATTTTCCTCCCTCTTTCATTAATTTAATTACTTTAACAGGGTAATGAAATTCAAAGATATCTAAAGGTTACGTGGGTGCTTCCCGAGGCAGTGTTGTTTCTACAAAGAAATCCAGTTGAATTTCTGTCACTGAATCCAGACACTTTACAAAAACATGAATTTTTTCCAGATATCCAGCTACCACCTGATACCAGTTCTCTAAGCAGTGATGCAGAGGTGAGAAACACTAAAGTTCCACATCATTTACAGAAGATTAGAAAGTAAAAGGTTTACTGTGCCCTTGAGAATCTCATGGTTTAACAACAGGATAAGAACCAGCTAAATATTCCAAACTTTCCAGTACACTGAAGTTCTAAATAAATCATATTAGAGAGCTATTGTTTCTGAGATAGATCTGCTTAATAACTCATTGCACTGTTGTTGCTATGGTTAAGGAGCTCTGAATATACGCTTCATACTCCTGTACAAAAAAAGAAGTTGAATTCCTTGTATTAAGAATCTTCTAGAAATCAATTTTTTTTCAGTGCTATAGATAGCTTGACCTTCACTAATAGTGGCACATGAAAGTCAAGCATAGTATTAAAGTGATATCTATTCCCATGTTTAACAAGCCCTGCAGCTGCAAACACATCCCTGATTCCTCCTACTTGTTCCCCTTGCTGCATGCACTGGTGTACAGGTACGTCCTAGAGGCATCCTGTTGTGGTGAATTCCCTAGTAAGGTGTGAAAACTTTTTCCACAGTGCTGTCCTGTGGAAAGATCTTTATTTATGTTCATTTACTTAGAGTAGGCTCATTCATTCCTGTTTGGTTGATAAGAGGTCTCATATCTACATCACCACGTATCTTATTTGCCAACCTGGTCCACAACCTCCTCACTTTATTTTTGATCATCCTTTCTGTCCCTTGTTAGTCCTAATTTAAACCTCTCTTCAATAGGTTTGTCAGCCTGTTGGCAAATATGTTTATGCTCGTGTTTGTCAGGTGCAACTTGCTTCTTCTTCAAATCTCAAAGACAGTCCCCTGGTCATTAAAACAAATCTTTGTTGATATAAGCTGCATATCCAGTTTTTGACCCACCTCAATTCCTTCTCTGTCAAGTAAGATAAAGGAGAAAACCACCTGAACTACTATGCCTTTGATTATCATACTCAGAGCTATGTAGTCAATTTTGACACAGTCCACATCTCTCCTAGCAGGATCATTTGTATCCACTGGGATATGCAGGGTGTACTAAGTAGTCTGAAGGCCAGGCAAGCCCCAGCAGCCTCTTCATAATATTCCAAATGTGAGCTCCCACCAATCGGAAAACCTCCCTGCATAGCAAGGTTGGTAGATGGAGGCCTTCATCCTCTGCAGCAGGGAGTTTACCATTGCTATCACTCCCTGCTTCCTTCTGGTGCTACTGCCAAGCTCAAATACAGTAGTGTTAGAATAACGTTGAATATGCATTTGTTGTATACACTGTTGATTTACGCATCATATTAAGTTAGCAGTTAAAAGAGGTCATTCTTTAGTGTCCACATTGTTTCAACTAAAGTTATTTTTTAATGTTCGTTGTAGGGATTTGTACCTTCTGTGGAAATGAAGTGCTTTGATGTTTTAAAAGTAGAAGGACATAGCTTGATAACTACTGGAAGTGAAAATGGTGCGATAATTTTGTGGGATTTTGAATCTGCCACTGTCAGATACATGTAAGTCTTGCTTTTATGGAGGAATTTTCTTTTCCAGTATTTCATATGAACCTTCCACACAGCATAGTGGAAATTCTAACATGCTCAACTGTAAAGGATGATCATCAAGCAGGAGTCAAAGCAGAAGTTCGTCTGGCCCTTTCTCTCTCCCACTTCAGATTACTTTGCTGGCTAGTCCCCATGTTGAAGTTAGCAGAAGTAATTAAAAGAGTGACATGTGGAAGGAACAGAGTAATCAAGAATAGCGTTTTCACATGTCAGCACTGCCACCGAAGGACACTTACTGAGCAAGTCACTGTAAATGGTTAGTGGCTGCTGTGGAGCTGTAGAATGTCCTTATTTTTGAAGTTTTGTGTTTGGGAGGATACTTAGAAATAAGACTATTTCAGCTAATAATCGCAGATGTATTACATTCTTGCTGACCAATGTGATTGTAGTTCTGCTCTTTATTTTAACTTATTTCTTCATATTTTTTTTGGAAAGTAAGGCACCTAAAAAAAAAAAAAAGGTTGTCATTCATACTCTTGCTTTGACATAAGCAATTTTTGAGATGTTTTTTCACTTTCATATGAAAATTTCTGGCTGTGTAGAATGGACAAGCAGACTTGGTGTAGGCTCTTATATATCCCTTTCAAAAACTGCATGGTTTCTTTTTATCTTATGGTGTTTCTGAGTACAAATGTTGAAGTAGATAGGCTGTTGAATCATCCCACTGTTCTTGTTTGGTTGGACTAATGATTAGTCAAAATATTTTTCTCACTAGCAAGGAGGTGACTTTCACAAGTGTGTACCTGAGTTCCAGCCATTCATTGAAAAGGGAAATAGAAATGTCCAATAGACCATGTTTCTGTACTTCAGATTGGAATTTAATTATATTATGATGTACTTTCAAAACAGAAATGCAGCTGTCCTTCAGTAAAAAGTTTCTTTAGGCTTGTTTTGGGGGGATGATATGGCATTACCAGACTAATCATTAAAAATGAGGCAGACAGAAACAAGTCTGTCACAATCCATTGAGCTGAGACTGAAGGATTAAGCAGGGATCTTCATGATCTTGAAAATGAAAAAGGTAGAACAGTGGAAAGGTATTAAATTCAAGCTATGGCAGGGGAGATTCAAGCTGGACATTAGGAAGTATTACTTTTCAGAAAGGGTGGTCAGGCACTGGAATGGACTGCCCAGGGAGGTGGCAGAGTCACCGACCCTGGGGGTGTTCAAGGAAAGACTGGATGTGGTGTTGAGGGACATGGTTTAGTGGGAGCTATTGGTAATAGGTGAACGGTTGGACTGGATGATCTTTTAGGTCTTTTCCAACCTTGGTGATTCTATGATTCTGTGATTCAAAAAGCTAAAGATGATGGGCAGATATCTCTGCTTGCTTGAAAAGGGGGAAAGTGTCAACAGAGAAAACTGAGTTATTCAATAAATAGCAAGAAAAGTGACACAACCAGTGAAAGCTAAGTAACTATTTTTATTTTAGATAAAAGAAATTCATCTGGAGAGGATTGTTAAAGAACTGTTTTGGCTATAATTTTTGTTACTTCAATTTTCTGTATTATCCTCTAGTCTTTTTTGACCTTTGTACTGTTCTAATAACTATTTGCAATTCAGTATTTTTTCCCTTGGCCTATATTGGTGGTATTGCCTCTCTTTGCTCTTTCTGGTTTCAGATATCTTCTTAGTCTTACCTTCAAGTCTGATTAAAATACTCACCTTTTGAAATATCTATCCTTACTTTTAGACATTTTACAGAAAGTTTTTGTTTGTTTATTTTTACTGCCCACTCACCAGGCAGTAGCAGCATTTTGTTGAAAAGCCTTTGTGATTCAGATGGCTGGCTGCCCAGATAAGATGCCACACCAAGTATTTTTGAGTGTCACTAATCAATTTTGCCTAGTTCTAGCAAATACTTTAAATAGATCAGTAGTATTAATTTAAAAATTCTTGATTAATTAGTGCAAGTTTTTTTGGAAGTCGAACTGAGGGGAAGAAACTATGTTTTGAATTAGCATGACCTGAAAACTTGTTTCATTTTCTTCACCTCAAAGAGTACAAAAATTTATCAGGGGAAAATGCTCTCTTCATCTTGAAATGCCTAGCTCAGATGTTTGTGACAAAGAAGAAATAAAAAGCTTGTTTCACAGAGCTGCAACATTGAAAATCCTCTTCACTCAGTAAGCCCCTGGCTACTCCTCAGTACTTTGGAGATATGGGCTCAATTCCTATTTCTATCTGGATGGTTTTAAACGCACAGCTTTCACAAGAGTTCTTTAACTATTATGCTACAAGATATTCTGCAGCACATAAGGCAAAGGGAGAACTTTTTTTCTTATTCCTATTGTTATTTTGGAGCAGTTCCAGTTTGCAAGACAAGAATGATCCATGAACCCAGGTCTAGTCAATTATTTATTCACAGTGGAAACAGGAAAGGTAGAAAACCTACCTTTACTTCATCAGAATGTATGAATCAGGTACCTCTTTGGGAGGTGGAATATGTAGCGTAATTACTGGCAGTTTTTCAGTGGTTACTTTGAGGTCAAAATTCTCTATACCTAGAAAACTAGAAGTCATATTTAACAAGGAGAAATATGAAGTGATTTTAGATGTTTGCGAGTAAAACTTTCAGTGAAATTAACAAAATGGAAAGGCAGGATATTTCCAAAAATTGTTGCATGGAATGAATTGGTACATCAGAAAAGTGAACAGTTAAATGTGTCTGGTTAGACTGAGTGGTGTAGTACAGCCAATCTTCTGTGTTGGAAATGGAATATATGCCTTTTTAAGACCATAAAAACTCTAGACTTAGCTACCCACTTCAACAGTTTCACATCATCTGTAAAGTGTAGACTTGGCACATTTGTGGAAAAAGTGAGCTGAGTTTTACTTGAACCCCAGAAAATAATAAAAACTGCAGTTCTACGTTTGTCTTTTTGTGTTTGCTTCCCCGTATGAGGGGTAAGTCGTTGCTTTGTAGAGAAAATATTTTACCCAGAATTCACACACATGACTGGCTTGAATGCCAGGAACAAGGTATTTTTCTAATAGTAATGTAACTGGTTAATTTTAACATAAATTGCTGTCTAAAACCTTAGATGACTTGCTCTTTTAGGAAATGAAATGTATAATCTTTTAGATTGTGAATGAAGCCTACAAGATTTTCTGAAAACGATACACAACATATCTGATATATTCAGTACAAACCTCATTATTTTTCAGGTGTAAAATTAATGAGAACAGCCAGGCTTCAGTTCCTCAAGCATCAGGAGTCAATGCTGTGTTATTCCTCATGCATAGTGCTTCCTCTTCCAGGTAACTGTGACTTCCACCATGACAAGGGTTATCATTTGAAATTCTACCGTAATCTTTAACCAAGAAACCATATTTAAACTGGAAATTGTTTTGTATTTAATCAAGTTCAAATGGTTAATTTGCTTTCCCATTTTTAAACTGTCGGTAGTGATATTAGGCCTTTTAGGCTCTTTTCTGTGGTGACCAGTGCCAGGACAAGGGGCAGTAGGCACAAACTGAAATGCAAGAAGTTTCATCTAAACATCAAGAATCACTTCTGTGTTGTGCGGATGATGGAGTTCTGGCACAGTGTGGCCAGAAGATTATGGAGTCTCCTTGACCTATCTTGACTCAGAAACAGACATGAAACACTACATCCAACTTTTTTCTCCTTCCACACAATCCTACTTCTGAGCATTATTTTAACAAACTGAAAATCATTTTTGTAATTAGCTGAAAACTCTTTGCAAAGAAAAACACTATGTAAAATGAAAAGGGAAAACTCACTGAAATGCAGTGAATTTTCCCTCTTCACTTTTGGAGAGTGAATATCAGTGTTAATTTTGACATACTATGGAATTCACTTGCTCAAAAGTCTTGATAGGAGAGATTTTGGCTGTGTAATAATGTAAATCTTACCAAGTTACTTGCATAAATTTCTGAAACACCAGCAATTCTTAGTCTAGTCAGTCCAATCATTTCAGGAAATATTTTATTGTGCTTTATTATACTAGATCATGTTGATTTCCAGATAGCAAACAGCATCTTCAAGACTGTCAGAGATCTTTTTGACCATCTGTGTCCAGTTATTCTTTTTTTCATACAGGAAAATTAGCTCTCTATCCTCTACTGCTATTGTGAGTAGTGATATTGATAGTGATACTGATGATCTCCCAGAGCACAAGAACAGCTATTTGAATCAAAATAAGGTGGGTATAGCAGTTTCAGGGATTCAGTAGCATCAAAAACTAATTTCTTTTTAGGTTTTAAAATCTTATAGCTTACTAAAATCTCTCCATAAAGCCATGCACAGAACTTAGGATCAAGAATTACAGAAAATAAGAACTTTCAACTTGCAGTGGGAATGAGGTGGGAAATTAAGAACACATTCTATTTGGCAGCTAGCTCTCTGCTACACAGAATATTTGACTACCAAAGTGTGTGTCAAATGCTTGTCACTAGTAATTCTGACTTTCAAACAGGAGTATGAAGAACTAGAATGGGAAGGTCAAACAGACAAATTCTAAAGTACTTGAATAAAAAGAGGATTGTATCAACGTTGCAACCACATTTACTTGGATGCAGTTTCAAGGGCATTTTCAAATGATGTTTTTAAATTTACCATCAAGCTGCCTGTATCTCAATCTGCACATTTTTGCATTATGAGTTTCGTGATACTCCTAGTCCTTTTATGCCAGAAGAATACGACATATCTGCAGTGCAATAAGTAGCAATTAGGTGAGGGGAAGAAAATCCTGCTCATTCTCAGTTTTTTTTCCAGTATTTTGTTTCAGTAGAGCACTTTCATAGATTCCTAAGTAGACACAAGTCTAATTAAAATATACAATATTCCGTGGTATGTTGTTATTTGAATAACAAAATGAACAGCCATTTGCAGTTCTCAAAAAGATCCTCAAAAGCCCAAAACATCAACTCTTGCAGATTGATAGGATAAGGCTAAAAAGACTTTCTTCTGAGAAACCTCAAACACTCATAGACACAATTTATTTGACTTAGCAATTTTTGAAGCCAATACTGATTACTGTCAGTCTTGGGGCTCCTCAGAAGCCAATATAATGAGAAACAAATGCAACAGTTCTCACACTGAAAATCTAGACATGAGTAAATATAGTAGCTATTCATGCATTTTTTCCATCTTTACTCAAGACCATAATGACAATAAGAATATTTGGAATTATATTCACTAAGAGATGTAGGGCATGTTCGTATGACTACAAATGACAAATTTTGTTTTTCCTGAAAAATAAATACCCTTCAGCCAAATTTACCTTTAGTGTGCTCTTAGCCTAGCTCCATTTTATAATTGTTACCTTTTATTCTTTGCTTCTAGGAAAATGCCAGAAGTTATGAAAATAGTACTCAGATAACAGCAGGTATGGAGAACCGTTGGTTTTCATTATCTTTCTTGTCGATCCCTGCGTTCTGACCAGATTACCATAGTGACTATGTCAATTTGTCTGGTAAACTGAGTTTAGAATAACTGAGCTACCACTGGTTTTCTGGATGATACACTTCAGTTTTTCTCAACCCTGCTTTGTAGTTATTTCTGGAAAGGTAGGTCAGGATGCAGGATCTGAAAGGCTCAACTGCTTTGTTTTCTAAATAGACATGATTTGCAGAATTTTGGATTGTCAATAATAGAAACTTATCTCCCACATAAGCTTTCAAGCAATGAATTTTTGAAATGGTAAAGCGAAAGCCAACTTGAGTTGAGTGTGAATAAATGCATGTGAATAATGTTCACAATCAAGTTAGTAGGAAAAGTCTTTCTTATAGTACATAGGTTGCTCTAAAAGTAATGCCTCATACTTATTTACATGGAAGTGACAACATACTCAAAGAGCATGATAATATTATTTGGTAGAGTAAATTCTCAGCTACAAAACACTATTTTTCAACATATTCACCACCATTAGTTTTTGTTAGTGATGAACAAGAGCCTGTGTGCTGCACTTAGGAAAAATCTGCATGGCTCACTGGAACATGGCTTGTCGTCATGTTGCTGTCAGCACTGCTGAAACACACCACTCATCACCTCACTGTGCCAATGAATACCAGTGGGTGCCATTTTTTCCATGTGGGGGGATTAAATGACTCATCTTTGCTTCTTATGCACTTCCATGTCAGCTACCATGCTGCCATCTGTCACATGGCAATAACAAGTAACAGAATACTGTTGGGAAGGTTCAACTTTACTGTCATACCACAAACATCTGCCTTTGATGTGCCAACATAATAAAATAGGAGTAATTACTTTTGGAGCAGCCCTTCTATATATCTTTAAACAACAGAAAAAAATAGGCAACCAAGTGCTTAAGAGTTAAAGCTGTGCAAAGGGAGTTGGTGCGTTTGTGAGAAGTAGATCCTCTAGATTCTTCTGAGACCCTTGAACATCCTCTGCTTGATAGCAGATTTTCCCAATAACAAATGTGGTCCCCTGAAATCTGGTTTTAGGCTAAATATATTCAGCAAAGGAAGCATGCTCTGAAAACAGAATATTCCTAAGTCTCATAGCTGCTCTATGAAATAGACACTCATGCTATGTCTTGCCCCCAGTGAATGTACATTCCTCTACGTTCCTCCCCAGCATCTCTAATTTTGGGGAAGTCAAATCACAGCAGGAACTCAGAAAAGGCTGTGACCACTACCTTGAATTTATCTTTGAATTTGAGAAATGAGTATAAAAATTTATGATTTCAGAATCAGTAAGTGTCATTTAGTTATTAAACTTCATTTAATTGCTAAATTTATAGTCATCTCTGAAACCCTCATGCAGAGGCTTCAGAACTGCTTCTCAGCTGTCCTGATCACCTCTTTCATTCTCACTAAGTAAAATCATTCTCACTCTGTAAAATCTGTTGCTATGCTCTGAATAATGTTCTTGGAGTAATAATGCTGGCCAGTTTACATGATGCCATTAAGATTGTTTTCATTTCTTGTCAGTTGTCTTCTATCCATTTCTGTAGCATTTTCATAATGCTACCTTGATGTTGGAGTTTATTTTCAAATTCAGTTTTTTCTAGTGTTATGTAATTTCTGTACTTTTTAGCTACTTTTGTAGCTTTTTAGAAAATGTGTGATCATTTGTGTTCCAAAGCAGAAGATACATTTAGGCGTAGGTATATCCAGTACTCGAAGACGAATGCACAATTACCCAGGGATGTAAGAAGATACTCACCAATACTGGCTTCTGCTCATGAAAATGGCTGCATCTACCTATGGAGTGTTCAGGTAGTTTTCTGAATGTATTTGGGATGGGACTGGACTGTTGATAAGTTAATTTGACTGATCTTTGGAAACCTGCTTTTCAAGTAGCAGCAGTAGATATTTCATTGCTGTTGTTTTTTTAATTAAGAGTTTTTTCCACAGACAAAAAATAGTTCTGCTTTAATGATGGTAACGGAGAGTAATATCCAGAGGAAAACGAAGAAACATGATCTATAATGAAAACTGGCTGTAAAGTTATGTGAAAGTGTAGGAACTGATTTTTCACCCACTTCATGTACCAGAACATTTAAGATTTAAGAAAGCATAATACACAAAGCAGAGTATCCTGGGCTCTGATGAGGAGAAATATGGCCGGAGCATTTCAGAAGCCACGTAGCACTAGTAGGTTTACAAATTTGGAGAGAATAGTATCTGATCATGTCTGATCTCTAGCTATAATCATGTAAAGCCAGTCTTGAAACAGAATGCCAATGACTTAGTAGTTGTATCATATCAAATCCATAAGACTATTCCAGAAAGCATGTTATTCTAAACAAAAGATGAAAAGTAAATACACATTGAAGGAGGAGCCTAACAGGAAGCCCTAGCTTCCTGTATAACAGAAAATGCAAATTCTAGGGAGAATTCTTCAGAAAGATGGTGAAGTAGCTTTTGCTGATGTTTTATAAAAAAAAAAAACAAAAATGAAACCAATACAATGGTAAATGTTGGCACAGTAGGTACAGACTTTGTTTGCTTAGATTCCTGTAAGCATTCCCAAGTTCAAATGATGGTGATGTCATCATTGACATCATCATTGCACTGTCAAGATTCTCCTTATCTGCATTACTTTCCCTCACCTCCCAGACCTGACAGGACAGTAGGGGAGAAAGGCTACTAGTACTTGCTTGAAAACAAAACCGGTTGGTGGTGGAGACATCATGTGTGTATTTTCAGCAAGAAATGACAGTTCAGAAGAAAATGAAATGCATAGTGATATTTCATGGCAAATTAGAGGTAAGTGTTGAAGTTGAGATAGGTACAGTTGAGTTGTGAATTGCCTGAAGAATAAAATTTGTTGTGGTTTTGATGTAGAAGAGATGACAATCCAGAAGAATACATCTCAGCTATGTTGGTTGTTCATTAGATTAGGAAACTACCTTTTCAGCAGTACTCCGGATGGGTATAAGCTTGATAATGCTGAACAGATCAAACCAATAGCACTCAACTTCTGATGCTTTTTTTTTTTTCATGAAGATGTTATAAAGAAAAATGTGATGTTAATTATTCTATTTTAGGGGAACTTACTGAAAGAAATTTTGCCATTTTCAAAATATCATCCAGTTTCTCTAACAGCAATATGTACAGACATCTCTACTAAAATGCTTCTGGCAGGCAGTAAGGGTAAGTGAATGTACTAGTCATTCTGCTCAGGACAGTTTGTAGAACTACATAAGAGCATGCTGTTAATGTGCCAGAAATGTGAAAATGAAGGTGCAAATGCTCCTAGACTTTCTCTGTCAAAGCTATAATTAAACAATTGAAAATGGTATTTCCTGATACAAAAGACTGGTAGATTAAAGTTTAGGATTAGTAGCATTATCAATATTCTTTGAAAAAGACATTGCAGTTTTCTTTATTTACAAAATCTGTATACATCTTCCATCTCAATTAGTGTAGTAATACCAAAGGCTACTATGAACAAACAAAAATGTCACACCTGCAGTAACATAACTAAATAAAAACCTGATCCTGTGTCTGTACTGAGAGCCACGATTTAGACGCTGATGTGCTGTGCACGGTAATGGCCTCATCGGTACACTGCTATGTAAGGAAAGAAAGAACTTATGGTCTGTGCTAGCAGCTCACTGTTAGACTTAATTTCACACCAAATCTGGCTTTTATCTCCTGTCTGATTCTCCTTGAAACCTCTCCATTCACCCTGGAAATTTTCCTCTTCTGCATCTATCATATGAGATTTTTGTCCTGTCATGTGCCACTGAAGAATCTGTTAGAACTGTTTTCTACTGGTTTCCTGCTATTATGCTATCAACATTAGGATGGATTCAGGTGTTTGGGTTTTTCTTTGTTTGTTTGTTTGTTTTTTATTCTTTTTTATTTTATCTGGTTCAAAACTGACCAGGAGACTGAAATGCTGAAAATGAAGAGGAGTTTCAGTCTTCATTGATTCAAATCAATCAGGTGGTACACACTGAACAAGATTTCAATTAACTGCGGAAAAGCATTCATCCTATTACCTATTCATCTGACACTCTCCCTTTGTCCTTTTGTGTTTGCGCCACTGATGTATGTGCTTTTCATGCCTTCTGCACTCTTCTCTTGCATCTGCAGTGCTAATGTCAGTGTCTTGTTCTCTTTACCAATTTTCGTTTTTCCTTGCTTGATAATGCTCAGTCCTAAAAGTCAGATGTGTCCAATATGAAGGCTGGAATAACACAAAAGATTCCTCTGTCTAGTAGTAGAAATTATGGATGTAAGAGATGACATCAGCAGGGAAGAGGGAGCCTAGGTGGGAAATTGAGCGGTCACAAGTCATGAGAAAAATGGTTCCTTGATTCTGGTTCCACCTAAGTGCACTAGAAGGTTGTATAACATTAAGCCTTCACTATATATGCAATTAATCACAAACTTTGTCCATTTTACCAGGATTGAAAAATAGTTTTTCATCCTCAGAAACTCATACCTAGTTTGTGTAATAGATAAGAGTCTGAAAAAGATTACTCTTGTTATTAATTCTTGTCACTCAAGGAAAGAACTCTGCATTCTTTCCATTTCAAATCTATTTAAAGAAACATTATTCAAAATGATATGTGTATTTATTTGCATATTACTAAATGTGTATTATTTTGTACTCTGTGTGCTTGATAATGAGATAGTGATTTTCCCATTAAAAGAATTTCCATTGACCTGTGATTTTTTTTATTTGTCATTCTGCCTGGTGTTTACCAAGAGCATATGTTAGCAACAAGAAACTGTGTAGCAATAATGAAATTTATTGACGTTTTGCTTTTTCCTTTTTTAAATAGAAGGACATATTATGTGCTGGAGCATTGTCTCATTCTTAGAAGATCCACAAAACAGTAAAAATGTAAGGGAAAATCTGACATTTTCTTAACCTGAATAGTATACTGGGATAAGACAAATAGTGAAAAAAATGGATTCAGACCTCTATGGGAACTAAAATGGTTTCCTGCACATAAAGGTAATCAAATAATAATTTGATGCCATGAAAAACCAACCAACAAACAAAAAGCTGTAAGTAAAATGCTGATAGCAGTATCCTATTGTGTTAAAAGAGGTTACATTAGAATGAATTTATCCCTGTCTTCTAAGCAGAATTTCTACCATATACCATTTGCAGCCTCATCACTTAATTTTCAGAAAGCCTTGCTGATAAAACCACTAAGCCAGTAACCACAGTGATATACAGAACTGCCTAAAATGTGGTTATGTTGCTTTTTCCCCTCAGCAAATAAAGGAGGAGCTCTGTTGGACGGCACACTCTGCTGAAGTCATTGACTTATTTTACGAAGAGCAGAACAATGTGGTAGTAACAGCATCTGTTGATGGTTCAGTCAGGTACAAGATAAATAATACTTCTTACTTCCAGGCCAGTTAGTTGAGCTGCCTCCTAAAATTCTCTTCTTGATGGACTCACATACAGACTTGGACAAATAAAGTACAACGTTGGGCACATTTTCTGTTCTGCACCTCTAAGAACTAAGTTTTTAATGTAAACGCTTCTACTTTTCTCATTAAGTCAGACCTTTTACAAGACTCTCATTTTCTTTCAACACCGTATTCTTGACCACGTAAGAAACAATACCATAATTTTAGAAATGACCTCCTGTGTTCTAATTCCATTTTATCTTTCAGCACTTGCTAAGTTAACATGGGTCCCCAACGTTGAGCATAGTAAATTAAGCCATTGTAATCTCAAGCCACTTTAGAGAAAACCGTGTGACTCCTTCTGGGCTAAGAAGTACATTTGAAGGCATGGTTTCTTTTTTTTTCTTTTTTTTCTTCTTTTTTTTTTTTTATGGAGTCAGTGAGGAAGTTTTGTATAGACCTTGCTGTGGTGACAGCACCTTACTGTTGGAGCAGTTCAGAATATTGGTGCCTTTGTTCCACAGTTTTATTATAATGATGAACTATTTATTTGTTTTCTGACATTTACAACATCCTGAGAATTTCTGCTCTCAAGTTACTTACGTGGTAAACAGGGAACTTCATTCTCATTGATATTTTTCTAGCTAACATACTGCATTCTAGAGCAGTGCAGCAGAACCTGATAATGTATTTTCACTCTTGTTCCACTTCTAAAAGCATTAATTTTCCTTTCTGTTCTTTGGACTGCTTTTACTATATCTGTAGACTCTGGCATGCCATGAATGGATGCTATCTTGGTTACTTTGGACAGCCCAGGAAATTTGAATTATCAGATCTCAGTCGATTGATTTTGCCTTGTGATGTTAAAGATGTTCCTATGATAATTAAAGAGGAAAGCAAGCATATGGAAAATAAGAGCATGCCGGACAAAGACAAGTAAGATCTCAAATATTTACATATATGCATGAGTGGGGGAATAATTCTGAAATATTGTGCTTACAGAGCAGCTTTTATTTGAAGGTCATAAAAGTAAATTTGTTTCCCATGAGGAAATAGTATAATCACTTTTTAAAAAATGGATAAAAAACCATGGATAAACCTCAATATTTTTGTAACTAGGTGACTCTCATGATTAAGTGAGATTTGAATCAAGATTTGAATTGAATAATAGTAAGGACTAGATAATTGCCTCTGATTTTAGCCTAATTACAGTTTGCATGTTATCTACACTGTTCAGGTTAGTAGCCTATTTTTTTTCAGTTCTGCAAGTCTTTATACTTCTGGGATACCCAAAACTTTATTAGAAAAGCTTACTGTGAACATTTTCAAACCAAAAAAAACATTTCCATTTAAAAGACTGTTTAATTAAGTTTGCTGGGATATTGTAGGTACATTCACATACCTTGAATCCTAATGTGCTGACACTGACATAAATTTTGTACGTTCAACAGCAGTGTTGGACCTCTTTCCTTCTAGGCAGAATTCTCAAAGGTTGTGGATTGGCTACAAGTGAAGCTGGAGGACCTTAGTCCTCTAGCTTAGGCTGTAATAAGTCCCAGATCTCCCTGCTTCATTAACCAGTGGTTTGAGGGAATGCAGAAGCAAAATGCATGTGGCTGTTATTGACAAATTGAAAAGTTACTGCATGGCTTAAAGGAGTCAAACAGGCTTTAATTATAAGGTTTCGTGTATTAGGTGCATTTTTAGGCTGACTTTTAACCAAAGAATTTTGAGACGATGGGAAAGTTCCAAGATCCTTTATTGTTAGCCCATTTAGGTAGGTTTTCTGCTAACTTATTCTTACACAGAATTCTTACTAATGTGAGTAGTCCTGCTGAAGTCAGAAAAGTAACACGTCAGTAAAGAGAAGTTCTTGATTGTATTTGAAGGACTAATCCCTATAGTCTTTTTGAACAGGCAGCAAATAGTCAGGAAACTCTGGAAATGCTAACAGCTCATTCTTGGAGCCCCAGGCTTGGACACAGTACTCCAGATGGGATATCATGAGGGCAGAGTAGAGGGAGACAACCACTTCCCTCTCCCTGCTGGCCATCCCTATTTTCTTTTGGTGCAGCCCGGGATATAGTTGACCTTCTGGACAGCAAGAGCACACTGCTGGCTCATCTACAGCTTCATGTCCATCAAGATCCCCAAGTCCTTTTCTGCAGGGCTGCTCTCAATGAGATCTTCTCCCTTCTGTATTCGTACCTGGGATTTCAACTGACAGTCACGATTTTTTAAATATGACAGAGAGTGACTTGGCAACCACATCAGCCAGTTCCTTCGTAACCCTGGAATGCATATCATCTGGTCTTGTAGACTTGTACATGTACAACCTCATAAGGTGGACCAGAGGGAACCTTCTTTGTTATTACAGAGGCACAGAAGAATTGTAGTCAGAACTGAAAAAAAACATTACCAGACAGTGAATTAACACTGAGTTGCAGTAAAGACTGTTTTATGTATTAGCTTATCCAGCCTCCTAAAGATGACAAGCCAGTATTTGGATTGAAGAAGAGTTGGTGAAACACTTTATGACACATTTGAAGCTCCCAATATAAATTATATTTTGAAGGCATATGTAGTAATTTATACTTCAAAATGATTTTATTTTGGTGCCAATTGAGAGTGTAGAATTTAAATTTGCTGTTTAGATATGAGCTTCTGATTTTTTTGTCCTTTTCTGTTTTACATGCACAGGTGGAAATCACCAACTAGATCACATTCAGTTTTAAAAAAAGATAAACATGTGGACATAATTCAGGACTTTAAGTTTTTCAAAGCTCTGTCTTCTCCAAAGGTATCTAATTTATGTGCTGATTTGTTTCAGTTCTGTGCAACATAGGAGGAAGTGCAACTGTATTTCTCATTTAGAAAACAGTCACAAATAACCCTATATATTCTCATTCAGTAGAGAAGCTAGAACAAAAATGCATTAACAGAGAGATCCATGAAAATTCTGTTTTTCATTCTCTTTGTTTTACACTTCTAAATTCCAATGTAGAAGAAAGAACAAACTGATTCACTTGTTTGGCTTACAGCATTAAAAAAACCTACAATCAACAACAAAAAACCTCAAACCCAGAATTCTTACATGGAACAACAGAAATCCAAGTAGTATCCAAGGTTTACTTGAAGGATGTGTGAAAATATTAGAACAGTGGTGAGCATCTATTTATATATAGTAGTTCTTTCTACTGCTTTAATTGAATAGTGGTGCAACTCCTCCATCTTTATATGCCATAGCCTTTAAAAGTCATGGGAACAAATGAAACTTCTCCTTTTGGAACTGGACTAGAAAAGGAAAAAGATCCAAACTCTATGGGCACTTGTCAGAAAAAGAAAACCTTCCATTAACACCTTTCTGACCATTCTTCCCCCATATTTAGCGAGGGCTATGAGTTCTTTACATCCTTTCCTAAAATTTTTGGTACTAGTGGGTCTCCTATGTACCACAGTCCATTATCCTAATACTAATGGGGCCAGCTAAGATCTAAACAGCAGTCAGTGAAAATTATTACTCCATGTGACCAGTTCTCTCTGTGTAGCTTGGGTGCAATGACAAGGAGAATGAGACACGCTTCTGTAGTGTTTATTACCCTGTCTTGCCTGAGCAGTCCTTTCCTTTTGCTTGCCCTGTGATACCAAGGATCAGCACTCATCTCCTCTGAATATTCAGCTAGTTGGAGCTAACGGATTACTTGTTGCCAAGCATACAGTTTTGAGGCATTCTGTCATTTCACCCTAAGGCAGCAACAAGATGACAAACTTCCTTGTGTAATCATTATACCAGTCAGGGATGCTGCACAGTCTCTGAAGTAACCTCTGTTTAAATCAGGATAACTGCTTTTATGAAGAAAGGGCACACAGTACAAAGTAATGGCAGTTGAACACCAATCCCCTGCTGTTCAGCAGCTGTAGACACAGCAGTGTATAATAAAAGAGAAGTGTAAGTGGGGAAAAAAAAACGTTGATGCTGAGAATACAACATGAATTTGACAGTATCAGTCAGTGGCTGAGTTCACTGTGGGACAAGCCAATAGAGGTGAGTGTCACTTTGGCTTTTACTTAGTCATTTGAGAAGAAGACTCACGGAGTCATCCACATACTTGCCTGTTCACACATGTTGGCACTGGAGCTTTTGTTAAGAAAAAGTTTTGATATCTTTTCGTTAGCCTTAGAGAAAAATAAATGGAGAAGTTCAGTTTGCACTTCAGACTAGAAGTGTGCTATTCAGTGGCTGTGCAAATACTGAGAGTATATGTTTAACTCATTGTAATCCAGATGTCCAATCATTCTGAAAAAAAGTAATGCCTGGTAATTAATACATAAGTAATATCTGGAATGAATTCCTTGAGGAATGTTTTTCATTGCTGAAGATGTGATATCTCAAACTGTTATTACTGCAGCACACTCAGTTGTGTGAAAAAATGTTTGTAGAAAGGTTCTGTGCATTATACCATTTCAAACTAAACTCACTTTCAAATGAGGTAGAAATGCATTATTTGCACTATTTCAAGGTTTAGGACATTCTTTTTCCATGTTAGAGGACCACAAGATGCTCTCCTAGGGTGATATCACTGTTATGTTGTGTAAGAACAGTTGAATTTCCTGCCATGTATGTATAATACCTAGGTAAGTCTAAGGATTCACATGAATGTGGATTGAACTATCGAGGTACTTGAGCTATTTTCACTAATTTGAAGCTTCCTACAGTTTACAATAGCAATGCCTTTTTGTTCACTTATGTCTTTCCAAACTAGTTGCTGAAGTGTTTGTGATTTGCATAGCCCAGAAGAGTGAGCCCGACTGACAGTCCTTAGATGAAACTATCACGTGGCAAGGAGTTCTTACTCCATTGGCTTTTCATCTAGCTTTCCACTGTCCTCTAATAGCATGCATCCACCAAAACAGACAAGTAATGTGAAAATGATTCCTGTACTGAACTTAACAAAATGTTAATAGGTGATATAGCTAAGCAAGTATTTAAAACCAGATTTAATTTAGGTGATTAAAACAAACAAAAAAAAAAAATTGCTATTAACTGTGTTGAATTTCTGTCCCTTGGGAAGCTGGAATCTCGCCTGCTATCTCTTTTCTATAGCAGAAGAATCCTCTTCTAATCTAAAAACATTCAAAACCTGTGCATAAACCACAATCTCTCCACATAGTAATGGTACTAACTTCTTCAGATAACATGAATGCTATCCACGCTATTCAATAAAACTAATAGTATGTAATAGGATTTTTTCGTTACCTTTTGTTTTGAGCTAGTAACAAACTCACTTTGGTTTCCGTTCATCAGCTTCCTAGACAACCTTTGGAAAGCATTGAGACAGGAAGCAAAGTGGCTGGTGCAGTATTTGGGCATCTTCCTATACATGAGGTAATCACAAGTGCTTCCCACCTTTTGCTGTGGTGTTCAAGCAGCAGAAGTCCTTAGCACTTGTAAATTATTAACATCACGTACTCACTCTGTTGTTAACTGTTTCTCAATTTAATTTTCTTACATGGTCTGACTTTCTATCAACCCAACTCTGTTCTCCATTTGGTGGAAGCTTGAGAAGCCAGCTGAAGAGAGCATCCTTCAGAGTGAGTAGTCCAACTATTTATTTCTTCTGTTCAGCCTTATGTCACTAAGTTATTGTTTCAGAGTCTTTTCTTTTAGCTAGTACAAAGACTCGATTCTGCACAAAGCTTTGGCTGTAAATTAACTGTAAGTTAATACAGTTTTGAAGGTACTGTTGTTTAGATTTATTGTGAGCTAACGAGGCTTCCTAAGTTGTTCCTAATTTGTAGTGAGACCAGAACTTCCACAACCTCATCACCACCTATAACAGGATGGAAAGAATCACCCCTTGAAGTAGCGCTGATTGCTCTCTATAGAGAGAGCCTAGTGAACCAGTCTGGACAGGACTCCAAACATTTAGATGGCTCATTAGGTGGAATGAATAGAGCATTCAAATATATATGACTTATGGTTTTTAAAAGCAGCATTATAGATGGAGTATCTCATCCATGCTAACCTAATGAACGCAGGAGCAGGCACATATTGCTCAAATCGATGGCATATATGCTGTTTTTCTGACCATTAATGTGGAACTCTATGTTTTATTTTCTTTCCTGACACGTTAGGAGCAAATACATTGAAGCCAATGGCACCACAACAGATTTACATAAAATGTAATCAAATTTTTTTGTGAGCTACGTGCACAACAATTTTTTTTTTTGTCTGTGCTGTTACAAAACACTATAAAGTGGTCTGACTGTAGGTATATATTTATTAGCTCTAGAAAATTTGCATTTTCATTCTACAGATCCTAAGTGGAACAAACCTGAGATGTCCACTCTAACTGAATTGACAGTGGAGACAGAGCTCAGTGGAGAACAGAATCAAGACGAGTAAACATTATGTTCATCTTAAGGTAAGTACTTTAGCAGATTCCTTGAGCATATAGAAATAGAATCTTTACATCCATTCCAGTTCTTCAAGCAGCAAAAAAAATTCTAACATGATTATAACAAGACATTTACAGAAAAGCCCATCTCACTCCACTTCTTGATAGATAAGAATGAAAAGCACCTTACTGTGATTGACTGTTTTTAAAGATTCAGGGCCATAAATCTGCAAAAATACTTCCATTGATGACATGCAGATGTCTCTGAAGACTAAGAAATGCATTAATTCTGGCTAGGATTAAGCTAGTTTTCTTCATAGCATTCCATATGCTACTATGTTTTGATTTGTGATTAAAAAAGCATGATAACAGAACTGTGTTGTGGCTATTGCTAAGAGTTGCCTGTGTCATCAAGTTGTTTCTTTTCCCCACTCCCAGCGTACAAGATGGGAGAGACCACATCTGCTATGGCTGACATGAACAGACCAGAGATATCCCACACCATATAATGTCCTGCTTAGCAATAAAAGACTGGGAAAAGGAGGAGAAAGGTGAGGTGATTAAGGCGTTCCTCGTCTTAAGTAACCACTATATGTGCTGTGGCCATTCTTCTCAGGCAGTGGCTAAACATCTGCCTTGAAGTAGTGAATGAATTCATTCTTTTGTTTTTCGTGTCAGAAGAAAAGCAGAGACACTCAATTTTATTGAATAGACAATCTACTAAAGCACTGCAAACTAGAAGAATATACACTTATTGTATCCTAGAGAACAAAGGATGCTACAAAGGAACAAAGGAAAGAAGTTAAGAACAGAAAAGCTTATTAGACAATTGATAGTTCCAAAGATATCTTTCAAGCAGTCTTTTCAATGCTGGATCTAGCACAAAGCTGTTTGCTAATAGGTTTGTTGAGTATTAGCTGTGAATTTTCTCTGTTGATGTCTCTGCATTCCTTTGGAAGCTATTTTTCCTCTAGTATCCACAGTTATATTTCAGGCTTAAGTGTTTTAGGTGTATCAGCTGTTCTGTTGTTTCAGATCATTACTATATTATGGAAAGGTGTCTTAACTAAAACAACCTTTTTCAGCATGGCAGAAACTCATGCTTGAACTGGCTGCAGTAGCTAGTTTGCCAGAATTTCATTACAGCCTTTGCTAGTGCTTTACAGAATTTGGGAAGTTCTTCAGGTGTCCTCACCCACTGTGGTAGTTCAATCTGAATGGCATCAACAACACCAGAATGACGGGAGCCAAAAGTCTTTGTTATGTATCCACCACTATAATAGTTCCCATTATTTGGACTAGGATTGGATAGAGAAGGCACACAAACGTAACTGTTACTTTGTTCTTCAATATATTTACCCAAACTTCTGTTCCCTGCAAGCAGAGTCTCAAAAGATACACCAACTAGCTGACTGGCCAGATATCTAATGGAGGAATTTGATGCAGAAAGGACACCCGAGTTAAGAGAAGTTTTTGAAAGCGTATAACCTAATTCTATCCACTGTTCGGGATGTGCTTGTCCATGGATATCTAGAATCAGGCCCCCTGTCATCTGTGATTTTGCAGTGGTCAAAAATCCCATGTAATCCTCCCAGGCCTGTTCTGCTTGGGGAACTCCAAAGGAGGCCTCTTCCTTTTCCCTGTTGGCATCCATCTTGAACCTCTGTAAGTGGTTAATAACAGTATGTGGAAAGAAACCATTAGTAATTTTGTTGATTTCCTCAGCAAGAGCTTGAGCCACTTCTATTGTGTACCTGTCTTGTTTGGTAGATACTTTACACTTTTCATAATTTTGAATGCTTCCAGGAGGGCACTCATGAGAGAAAATACAAGAAGATGTCTCTGCATCCCAACAGCCAGCCTCTCGGTCAGGGATGTCTTCAGGTTCCATTGACCCACCATGTGGGACAGAGAGGATCAGGTTCATGTTGCCCACTTGATACTCAGTGAAATGATTATGGCCAAATATAACTTCTCTGCTGCTGGTGGGTTTCAGAAGCAAATATAGAATGGAAAGGAGGAACAGATACATAGTTTTCATTTCCTACTGGAAGACTCAGCAAAAAAGAATATGGCAATACCTGCATAAAAGCAAAAGAGAGATTTTAGATTATTTACGAATGGAAATATGTGAGTAGAGCAGCTGCTACTAGAAAAATTAGTTACCAATTAACCTATTCTACTTCAACTCCAAGCAGTACAAAGAATAAAAGTACTTTCAAGAGACACAAAAAATGAACAGGGTACTTTGCATGGCTAGATGTAATTGATGCAGTGTTTCCAAAAGAGTGGATTCTGCCAGAATAACAGGGCATGGGAAATGGTAGGTTATTGGGTCTCCTTTATTCCCCAAGAAAGAACAAAGATTACTTGATCATATTATCTGACTCTAGAGAATCACCAAATCTGAGCAAAGTATTTAAAATAAACATCTTCCTAACTAACTAAGAACTAAGTTCTTTTTTTTCAACCCTGAAACATCAAGAAAATTCTATGAAAATTTGAAGGAATGTCTGTATCATATTGACTTGAGTGAAGCATCTTTCCATTATCCGCGTGCTTTCAAAACTAGAGGTTATGTCAGCTCAGACCATCTCTGTGTTTGTCTAAAATAGGCTGGTAAAAATTGAGTGCTACTAAGGTCTACCTCTTGTTGTTCTGCAGGCTGAGTTACTCCGAAATCATCACACATAGATACAAGTCCATTATGGAGCAACTCTCTTTAGTTTTCACGTTTCCTTTCTCTTCAAGAGAGTTAAGATACTTTTAAGCTGTCAGTAAATATGACATTTTTTGGAAAGCAGTAATTCATCGAGATACTAACAGTGCTTTCAGGTCTGAAGGCATCATATTCCTAGAAAAACCAGAGTCTTGCACATAATCATATAAAATGAATAAATAAAGCCAGTGAAAAGCAGAAGAAAAGGATACTTTCAATTCCATGAATTAAAAAAAGCTTCACGTAACATAGGCCAGTTGAGGAGTTTGTAAATGAGTACATTAATGTGCTGTGTTGTTGTCTGTCCTACCTTTATAATCACATCACTCACAAAAATACAGAGGATAGGAGGTATAGCCAGAGAAGAGAGTGAAAAAGCTGAAGAACTACAAGGATCTGCCTACCAGACTTGGCCTGAAAGTATTGGCAGCTATACTTACCTACATGGAGCTTCCTACCACTACTGTGCCACACGTTTGTCCTCAAATCTGAAGGAGCAACAGCAAAGATATTCTACAACCTACACTTGACATGGTGCCATAAAGTTTGTTCGTTTTAAAGAATCTTCAGGCATTACACTAGAGTTTCCAGCTTAAAATAAGCTTTTATCTACATCGGCACATTATTAATTCTTCCCTAGGTTTCCCCAAGACATAGGCCTTTATCTACTAGTTCACTGCATTACCAGAAATGTGTAGAAAAAAATTTTAAGTATTATTCAGAATCCCTTTTTACCAGAGAAACAGCCCACCTGCAAAAAGCAGCACAAGCCATCCACATAATTCTAAGCATAGCTTACCTGAGGTACAGTGGGGCTCAACACCAAGTTAAGGAAATCGACACTTCATGGGTGCTGATCAGCTGCCCTAGGAATCAGGCTTCCTTTGCCTCTGATGTTCAACTTAAATGTGGTGACACAGCTGTTCCTTTCCCATCACCTGCCAAACCAGTTTGTTTACATCTCTGCAATTTCCTGTTAATGATTAAATCACGCTGTTAACACTATTAGATCCTGCTTTTAAAATATCTGGATACATAACTCTGTATGATTCCGTAACTGGAAGAAAATCATGCAGGCTCAGACAGGGCAGAGGAAACTGGTGACCTCGGACTGGTCTATGGTTTTCTAGATAACACATAGGTACTGCAGAAGAAAAATGTTAGTCACAGTAATACAGACTAGAAGGGTATTTGGGGCTTTATAGCAAAACACACAGCTTCCCAAGGGTTTTGAACATTTGTTCTTCTCCTCCAACAGCGGAACATCTGCAAATAGGGAGGAATGCGCTGGAAAATTTACCTGTTTGTTTGTCTTCTCCATATGAAGGAGGTCCATGCAAATAAGAAATAATTGAACTCCATATTGTAGATAAACATATATTATTGCGTGGTTTAAAAAGTCTTCAGTATTTTAAACTGGTAGCAATTGCTGCAAGAGTATTTTGAAGATTTATCTACAAAGAAAGGAAGAGCAAGCTATTCCCAGTTCGGTGCCTTCAAAAGTGAAACTGAACTGACCACTGTGCTGGGTTTCACTCTGGACTCCGAACCAGCAGGTCTCTAGAGGGCAGGCCGAGTCCTGCAACTGCTGGCACAGAGACTTCTTCACCTGCACCTCGATGTATCATTTCACAATGCAGAGATCACAAAAGGAAAAATTATATATATGCTGATATACTACAGACTCAGCAAACTTTTGTTCTCTGAGCTGGCATCCATTTTTAGAGATCAAAACCAACTTGTCACAAACACCATAGCCACACCAGAACTCGGAATAGCTGATGTAATTAGTAAAGATGAAAGTATATGATTATTCTACAACCTCTTTTTGCCATCACTTAAATCTTTATTTCCTCCTAAAAAAGAAATCATTAGGTAAAGTGTAACTAGCCACAGTGCTATTATTTTACTTGGAATCTGTTTGTGCCAATGATTCCACTTTAAAAAAAAACAAACAAAAAAACAACCCTGCATCTGGTTATCTGAGAGGAGAACTCCTCACAGCCAAGAATTACTGCCCGGGTATTCAAAATGAAGTTGCAGAACTCACAGCAGTGAGGCAGATGACCAAATCAAAACACTGGCAACATATTGGAATGGCAGACAGCAGGTTCCCACTGGCAGTAGGAATCACATAAATTATAGGTCAGTGCTCATTTCCATAGGATTACTCATGAGCAGATTGCTTCAGCGACTAGCTGGCAACATGTGGGTTCATGTTCTTTTGCTTTTGCGGGAAAAATCGAGGACACAGAGAGAAGGTCAGATGTTCTTGGCACTGACAAACATCTATTTCAAATATTACTAAGCTGAGGTTGTTTTTCTTTTGACATCAGTGAGCTTCATTCACAAGGTATTACGTAGCAGAACTGTCTTTACTCCACAACCGCATTCTTGTGAAGTTGATGGGCACGGGTCTTACCTCATCAGACTTCCAGCAAATAAAGTAAGATTTGCACAGGAATGGAATGTCAGAATCACACTCACTCATCTTTTCAATGGAAAATGATTCCATAAGTTGTGTGCACCCAGCAGTGAACAAATCATGACCCAGATGCCAAACCTCTGAGAATGAGGTAAGTGTAACTGATGCAGGAAATTGATATGGCTTCTCTTCTGTTCTCCTCTGTACCTGTTCAGAGGTCTGCGCATGGCATTAGAAATTTAACAGTTGGTTGACTTTTGAAATATGGCCCAAGCTCTTGGCCTAGCCTCACCACAACAGGCATCTGTTACTACATTAATTTAGGTAATACAGGTTTTTAAAGACTTTACTAACATTATTGATATTATCTGATTGAAGATACTTTTAATAAACCAAATGCTAGTGCATATCATCCACATATTCCTAGAGACGCACTTTTGTGAGATCCTTTTGTGATTCATTTCTAGAGGACATAACACAAAGAGGTTGCTTTGGGTGATCACACTGATCCCTGATGCCTTCCAAATCTTTAGATCTATTTGCAACTTTTAGAGATTTAATGTAATCATGCTAACTCTTCAGCATGAAGATATCTATCTTTTCAGATTAAGGAAGCAAAGAGGAAATTCTTGGTCAAGAATTCTGTGGTTCTGGTTTTCTTCAACAAAAGTTCCTCAATTCGCGTTTCTGACTCTGAGGTTCACGCTATGATTGTTTATAATCCCAGCTACAGAAAATAGTCAAAAGTAGATTTAATTGAATTCCACATGGCATCTTAAATTTCATGCACATATTGTATCGTCTACCCTGGTTATCCTTCATCTCTTGAGCAGAATGGCTTAAGGAAAACAGAAATGTTAAAATTGATGCAAGAACATATTTTTAAGATAAGCGCTCATAATCCAATTTTCAATTACGCTGAAAGTAGAACTGCAACACTAACATCTCAGGATGGCTTATATTACATCGCAACACAAACATTGGGAAATGTAAAGGTGTGCTCTGACTAGCTCAGGCTGGGCTCTTTCAGAATGAGACCAGGATCTCACTGGGACACATCAGACACATCACACAAGGATGAGACCATCTGATATTGTTCCTACCCATGTGTGAAACACAAAAATGAGAATGCCCTTCAACACACTCTAAAGTGACTTTATGCTCCTGCATTTGTAGTATTCATTGCATTTATGCTATCCCACAGGGCCAACACAGACAGAAACAAAGAATGGACTTGCAGTTAGCTGATTTTCATGTTTTGCAGAAATGGAAAACTTTATACATAGAGATAATTCATTTCCTGATTGTAATTACAAAAGGACCAGATATCCAAACTCTAAATTGTGAAGAGAAATTCAACATTTGATTCCTCCTCCATCACTGTAGAGCACTATAGAGCCTCTTGCTGCCCCGGTTTGCAGGATGTGCAGACCATGCGCCAGCTATCAAACTACAGCTGATGTGTTTAATGTGTCAAACAGGCAGAATGAAATAGTGCAGCTGAATTAGCAGATGGTTATGTAGGAAGTCACTCCCATGCATGAGTGTCCAAAACCATTAACTAGATCTCTGAAATAAAAATGTTAGCTTTGTGCCTTTTTTCATTTGTGCGGTTTGACTACCACAGCCAGATTTTGGTATGAGATATGGATGCTCAGGGCTTTTTTTTTTTTTTTTTTAATGAAGGCATTTATAGTGATGCATAAATACGGACTTTAAATTCTGACTTGGAGCACCAATTCCAACATTTTCACGCCAGGGCTTTTCCCCCAGTACAGAAAGGATGTGGAGCTCTTGGAGCAGGTCCAGAGGAGGGCCACTAAGATGATCAGAGGGCTGGAGCATGTCTCCTATGAGGAAAGGTTGAGGGAACTGGGCTTGTTTAGCTTGGAGAAGAGAAGGCTCCGAAGAGACCTCACTGTGAAAGCAACAGACGCAAATACAGCCTATGGTGGATTTTCTGCTACGTGTACTTCTTTCAATTCACAGCTCTCAGAAACATTTCTGAGTAGCTCAGTGCCGCCCAATCAAAATGGCGCCGCGACCCGCCCCTTCTTGTGCAGGGCGGAGCGACCTCCCTCACCGCCGCCATTCGCCCGCGTGGAGCACGCTGGGATTTGTAGTCCGCTCCGGGGGCGGGGCCACAGCGCACAGCGCGCGCTGCTTGAAATCCCTGAGGCGGCGGTCGCGCGCTACGGCTGAGCGCGGCGTGGGGCAGCGGAGCGGGGCAGCGCTCGGCCTCTCTTCTCCTCCCCGCCCCCCAGCGAGGTAGCGGCGCGCGGGGCTGTGGCCGTTGGGAACCGTTGCCCCGCTCTCTCCTTCGACCCTCCCAGGCAGCGGCGGCGCGGGCCGAGGTAGGGGCGGCGGCGGCGGCGAGGTGGCCGCCTCGGCCTTGTCGTCCTCGGGCGGGCGCTCGAAGGCTCCCCATCGACTTGGGGGCTGGGTGGGGGTTGCGGCAAGGCTCGATGGCGGCCCTCTGCGAATGCAGGGCTGAGCTGAGGGTGCGTTAATGCCGCGCGTTTTCCCTCCCGCAGCCGCACTATGGGCATTCAGGGGCTGCTGCAGTTCATCAAGGAGGCCGCGGAGCCCGCCCACGTGAAGAAGTACCGCGGGCAGGCGGTGGCGGTGGACGCGTACTGCTGGCTGCACAAAGGCTCCTATGGCTGCGCGGAGAAACTGGCCAGGGGAGAGCCGACGGACCAGTAAGTCACGGGAGCATCTCGGTCCCGGCCCTTCCACACGCTGAGGTCTCGTTGATCTGGGAGTTCTTGAGTTAAAAGCGACGTCAAAGCAGTTTCAGTTCGGTTCTGATAGACGCGTGCCTCATGCTTTGAGCAATTTCTTGCACGGATTTTTTTCATTTATTTTTTTTCGCTTGGCTTGTTACATTTTTAGTAACAGTAGCTCTTTGTCTGCAATGTGGATTCTTTTAGTAGCCTCATTTCTTATGAAGGACACAAATAAGAACCGTGGCCATACTGCAAGTCTTGCTTTGGAGCGTAGGCCAGATTAGCGTGAATTCTTGTCCTTTGTCCTGTCCCTAGAAAGCTGAGTTGAACTCTTGTTTTAAATTGTCTTCTAACATGTTCTTCCTCCTTTTTCTTTAGAAATAAAAATACTAGCTAGTCTGGGCTAAGCTTCATTCATGGGATTTTGATTAAGTATTTGGCTGGAGACAAAAGAGCACTGATTACAAATCGATTCAAAACTTTAATTCCTGCTTCTGATAGAAAGAAGAACTGTAGAGTTTCATTCAGCTCTGCTGCTTGTTTTTGAAAATAGTGGAAATCCTTTGGAATTCTGAGAAATTATGTATATTTAAGTGAATTAAAAAAGCTGACAGGCAGGGAAACGTGACCCATCAGTGGGAGCTTTAGGGTGATTGAACTTCTTAACTATATCTATTTAATGAGGAGGAAAAAAAAAAACCTATCTTTGTGGACATATGGTCATTAATCTCAGATAGGCCCTTTAACAACAGTATAGAGATCCCCTCCACGCTTTAGAACACGTCTGAATAATTTTGCAGTTGCTGTTAAATGTTAGTTGTGTGCTGCTGATGAAATGATCCTGTTGTACAGCTCTGCACAACTAACAGGTGAGGAAATGAGAGATCTGAGGAAGTATGCAAAGTCTGGAATCGCCTGAAAATATTTTTACTAAAGGTTGGTTTCTGCAAGCAGTGGAGGATTGCCTCCTGGTCTGTACTCCTAGTGCAGTTTGGGTAACTGTCCCATCTCTGAATGTTTTCAGTAATGTGCCTGTATGTTTAGGGTAGGAGGATATATTTGCTTGTCTATCTCTTAGCACATACTCGCCCACTGAGAATTGGATAGTTCCATGGTTAGAGGCTTTATACCACATTGCTCTACAAAAGTGCACTCAATGAAACATTTAAAAGGCTCCAGGGAAAGATAATGTAGAGCACTTGCAATCTATTGTAGCAGAGTCAGCTGAATGCTGCTTGAATTCTTAGTGCATTTTGTGCAAAAATAGAGCTTGGTAGGCTCAGATCTAAGCTGGGAGGTGAAGCATTTATTTATTAAAAAGGGCATTCATGTGTTCTTAATCTTTCTATGATACAGGAAAGATGTAAGTCCTGTTAAGACTTCTGATCAATGAAATGGATTTTTTTTTTCCCTCTTCTTGTTGACACAGTTATGTAGCTTTCTGCATGAAACTTGTTGACATGCTCCTCTCATTTGGAATTAAACCAATTTTGGTATTTGATGGATGCACCCTACCTTCTAAAAAGGAAGTGGAGAAGGCCCGAAGAGAGTAAGTATTGATTTGCCAGCACAGCAGTTTAATACCACAGTCCATTTTCTGTTTTGGAAAAACTTCAGACTTGTTAGGCAGTGATCTTTGGTCATATTTCCTGCAGTTTAGTTTAACTTCACTGAATTTACATTTAAAATTGTACGAACATCTTCTTAGAGATTTAATTCCAAAAATAGAAAAGTGTTTAATAAATGAAAGTATTTTTAGAGAGGAAGGAAGTAAACTACTGAGCACCGTTTCCGGTAATGTGTTAAAGCCTTTCAGTTCACTCAAGCTGATTGATCTCTGTGGACATAACAATTCATACATAGGACATAACAATTCATACATAGGACATAACAATTCATACATAGGACATAAATTCATACATAGGACATAACAATTCATACATAGGACATAACAATTCATACATAGGACATAACTCTATTCAAAATTAATACCACCTTCCTTATCATTCTCTTCAAATAAACAGATAGAACTTCTTCAGCTTTGGATTAGAGTCCTATATAACTGTACATCTTGCTGAAGCTCTGCGAATTTGTTATTAAAATGTTGCTGTTTATCAGTTATCATAGAGCATATATTTTCTTGAGTATGGTGCAAACCATTTTTAATATTTGGAATGAAGTAAATAATCCCTTCCCTTCTGTAAACCAGTGAGCATTTGACATCAGGTGCTCCTGAAATCCATTACACTTATTTTACTGCATCCTGATTATGAGTGCAACTCTTCTTTCACTGCTGATTTCAGTTGGAGTTGTTGCTGTTTTTTCACTGTGTATTTCACCATGCCAATCTAGGTGTCTTTTTTTGATGTGGTGGCTTGCAGTTATTCTGATATTTAGAATTTAGAATGCAGTAGAATGCATTTGGAGCACATTCAACTGCAACACAGCTTGCCTGCTTTTCTCTGTCTCCTGGTCCTTTCTAATACCTGTTCTTTTAAGTAAAAAAAAAATATATATATATATATTCTGAGGTCAATGGATATTTTTCTTTCAGGAAGCGTCAAGCCAATCTTCTGAAAGGAAAGCAATTGTTTCGGGAAGGGAAATTTTCAGAAGCAAGGGACTGTTTTGCTCGCAGTGTAAACGTTACGCATGCTATGGCTCACGAAGTCATTAAAGTAAGTTTTCAGTGCTGCTGAGATGAACAGTATCAAACAAAAAAAATCAATGCAGTAAGTCTGTAAGCATGTCTTACTCTGCTTTGGTACAACTCCAGTGCTATCTTGTCTACATAGGAAAAAAAAATATTCCATATACTTCCTCTTCTTAGTCTACATCATACACTGGATTATGTTAGACATGGTTAACTTTGCTTCAGATTTATTATGCCCAGTTGTATAAATAATAGTGATTTGTCAGCTTAAATACAGCTCCTTTAAAATCCATGAACTAACTTAAGTAGCATCTTGAATTTTCAAATTTATTTAGATACCCACCTCAGCTAAGTTCCTGGAATAAATTCTTGCTTCTTAAAAACCTTTCCAGATTCCCTTGCATTCTTCCACTGCAATCATACTTTGTTTTCTTTATGGAGAGTGTACTGTGCAGGAGTGTGAAGCACGCAGCTGTGATCAGCATGTACACTGTTGCATGCCAGCACAGGAGAGGCTGTTTTGTAAACCATCCTTAATTCCTTGAAACTTGGGTTTTAAATGTGAAAGATAGGACTTCAAGATAGGGCAGGGTGGGGGGAAAAAAGGAGCAGGTGGGGGATATAGGTAAATAAAGAAAATGGTTACTAAATACGTGTATGTTTCCTGTTTGTGTACAGGCTGCACGAACCCGAGGAGTTGATTGTATTGTTGCTCCCTATGAAGCTGATGCTCAGTTGGCTTATCTTAATAAGACTGGTGCAGTTCAGGCCATCATTACAGAAGATTCTGATCTTTTAGCTTTTGGATGTAAAAAGGTATAGAAGAAAATACTAATAGCCCTTAATTCTCAGTGATATCTTAAAAGCAGAATTGAAAGATGCTAAATGTGTTTGACTTACTTTGTTACAATAATTTGTGGAAATTGAAGGCACTCGCCTCTATTATTTCCACCAAGTGCAATAAGCTAGCATATGTACAAATAGAACAATGAACCAATATTGGTGAAAATTATTTTTTCCACTGCATTTCCAGGTGTTTTTGAAAATTGACAAATTTGGAAATGGATTGGAGATAGATCAAGCTCGGCTAGGAAACTGCAAGCAGCTCGGAAATATATTCACTGAAGAGAAGTTCCGTTACATGTGTATTCTGTCTGGTTGTGACTACCTCCCATCAATCCATGGAATTGGGTTAGCTAAAGCATGCAAGTTACTAAAATTAGCTAACAATCCAGATATTATAAAGGTAATTTGATTTTTAGCTTTGTGTTGGCTATTTGGGAGTTTGTCTCTGCATATAAAGCACTGAATTGAAAATG